TAGCCATCACAACACAGTTTTCATAAACAGGATAGCCTTTAGGTTTGGCTGGAGAACTGAAAAAGAAATAACCCTAAAAAAGCAGTGGTTTAGTCACAATGTCTAAATGTCTAAATGTTTTGTATCTAAAATTCCATCATGTCATAGTGACTCAGCTTGCATAACGTATTAACACACCAACAAGGACATCATATTTGGGCTTAGCCCAGCATATGACTAAAACAAGTAAAAAGCAGAATAGTGGTATTCTTGGAAAAGGACTTTCTTCCCAAGACTCCTTTTTTTCCCCACATACTTTTTTCTCTCTTTCCCTCATTTCTATGAAAATGGACCTAGCAAAGAAAATAGGCTCTACTGATACTAAGAGAAGAACTTCCCTGTGAGTTTCATTGTTCTATAAAGGATCCAGATGAAGAGGAAAACTATAATCCAGTGATGGCAAACCTTTTGGAGACCGAGTGCCCAAACTGCAACCCAAAACCCACTTATGTATCACAGGTGCCGGGTGGCTGTGGCCCAGTGGGTGGGCGTGGCTGCGGTGGTCACAGCAGATTGGATGGGCATGGCCACCTCTATGTTGCTCGTGGGGATGAACACTTGTGGGGGCTGGGTAGGGTTGGAGATCCAGGGGGTTTCTGGTGGGTAGGGTGGTGGGCAGGAGGTTCGTCCTGCGGGATGAGGGGCAAGGCAAGGTGAGGCAGGGACTGGGGCAGCTGCTGTCTAACACCATCGGCCCCCACACACAGAGGTCAGCGAGCACATGGGGGCCGACGGTGTTCGTCTGCAGCCACAGCCTGCCGGCCCCTTGACCAACACACTCTGGGGCTCCATAGCCTGCTGCAAATACTGGGCCAGCCCTTCAGCAGCAGGCAGAGTAGGGGAGGGGGGAGGTGTGTGATGCAGACCTACTCCGTCCCATCTGTTTTTGCTTGCGGATAGAGAGCAGGTTGCTGTTGGTCATCTCCTTGGCCCCCTTGCAGATCTTTCCCTTGGCCCACACGTGGAGCCTGTTCCCCTCGCATACCCAACGCATCTTAGCCCCGCCTCAGGCTGCCGTCAGCAGCTCGTGCAGGTCCATTATGCTGCCACCGCCACCCAGAGCACCTGGCCCGTCCAGCACAAAGAAGGTGAAGTGGACAGCAACAAGCTCAAGTAGAGGTGATAGAGTACACCCATGGCCAGCAAGCCAAAGGCCACCCCAAGCGGGGAAAGCTGGAGCTCCATGGCCCTCCAGTCCTAGTTAGGATTGTGTGCCTCCCCCCATCTCTGCTGGGCCTGGGCGGCTATGATTCAGTGGGGATCCGGCTTTCCCCGCTCAGGGTGGCCTTTTGCCTGCTGGCCCTGGGCGTGCTCTACCACCTCTACATGGAGCTTCGTAGCCGACCACTTCGCCTCCTTCATGCTGGGCAGGCCTGCAGCTCTGGGCGGGCGGCCAAGTGGACCTGCACGATGTGACTGTTTGCCGCCAGCCGCAGCCATTTGCCACCTTGTCGCACCCAATGCCGCTGCTATGTGGCTGCAGTAAAAGCCGGGTGGAGGTAAGGAACCGGTATACCAGTTTCTTACTGCTGCCCAGCTTGTTCTGCGGCCTCATGGCAATGGCATTGTGCAGGAGGTGGCAAACGGCTGGTTTTGGTGTGACACGGCTGTTTGCTGCCTTGTGTATTGCGACCAATGCCACTGCAATGCAGCTCAGCCGAAAGCGGCCGTGGAATAAGTGGGGCAGGTTCCCCCCCCTCCCATTCAGCTACAGCTTTGGTGGCTCTGTAGGCAGAACTGCGAAGTTCTCTTCTCTAACAGAGAAGAGCCCCCAAAGCAGCAGGTGGAGTGCCAGAGGCTTGGGGAGGGATGGTGCTGAAGTGGGCAGTTGGGACATTGGCAAGAGCAACATATCTGAGTTGAAAGTGGCCTGGGAACAAGTAGGGCAGTAAGGAAAGAAATCCTCGCTCCCCCCAGAAATTGCCTTTCTTTCCTTACCTGACTCCCAGCCCCATGCCGTTTCTCCTTTGCGACCCGCTGCTGCGTATAAGAAAACAAAGGAAGTTTTTTGGAGGAAAAAAAAGATCAATCAATCAATTGGCCAGGATGTACTTTCTACAGTGTAGTTCTCAAGCTCTTTACCCCTTACCAATATGTTCTTTATTTCAAACTGATATGTATTTCTAATGCATGTTAATACCCTTTAAATACTTCTGCTCAACAAAATGGGAGGTTTTTGGGTGTGTATACTTTTTTGATTTTTTTAAAAAATAAAGTGCTAAAAAAGAGAGAAATCTTTCCTACTGGTAAATTGTTCTTCTGAAAGCTGAATAATATTATGGTTTTCAATTAATAAAGAGTAGATTCCAAATAGGCTTATAGAAAAGATACTTATTCATTGTATTTGAAACACTGATTTTTAAAATTAAATTGCAATGAGCTGAAAGGAGAAATATTTAATTTTTATTAACTAGGACTAATCTTAAAGTCTGCTATAAAGTGATTCCATTGTTCCCTTGAGTGCTTGGCAATAGGTCTCTACTGTACCTAGAAAAATTACCTGCTATTACACACTGTGTGTAGAGAATTGCAATCCTACATTCCAATTTGTCATTATACCTGCATAATACATATACCAGAGTTCCTTTCATGAAGTGCTTTGTTATAAAATCAAGAGGTTATTTTCTGGCTCCTAGATAAAATGGGCCTAAACAACAAAAAGAAAGAGAATATTTTAGAATTAACTTGCAAGTAATATTAATATTGTAGAGCATGAAAATGTGCCAAAATGTTAACAGAAATAGAGAGCAATTTCTTTTTGATAAAAATTATGTTGCATTTGGGGATTAGATAAATGGGGCATAAGGGGACATGTTTACAGTGTAGATACTGAAATGGTGGATAGCTTCTACTTCTACTACTGACTATCAACAGTTAAATGAACCAGGAGGCAAAAAATATGCCACTTGGTAGTTCTTTGAAGAAGACTCTAATGCTGGAAAGTTGGAAGGAAAGGAAAGAAAAGAAAAGAAAAGAAAAGAAAAGAAAAGAAAAGAAAGGGACAACCAGCAGCAAAATGGATGGACTCAATTATAGTGAGAAGGCACTGTTGAAAGACCTAGTTAGGATTGGACGGTCATAGAAAAAGTAAATGTATGCTGTTGTTAAGAATCAGCACCAACTTGATGGTATATAATCAAACACTTTCTCCCACAATATTAGAACCAGTGATAATGCAATCTTATCATGTTGTATGAGCTTAACCATGGCTTAGCACAAGGGTCTTCAAACGTGGCAACTTTAAGAATTGTGGATTTCAACTCCCAGAATTCCTTAGCCAGCTTAGCATCATGTGTGAAACTGAGCAGTGTCCTTTACTAGTAACATCAAGTGCTGGAAAACCCAAAGAAAAGAGTGTCTTTTCATCTGTGGCCACTTTAGGGGCAAAATGGACTAGAACTTCTTTTGATCTGACCTAGCAGAATTCTTATTTTCTTATCTGTAAAACAAGTTCAAGCATTATTTCTTTCTTGACATTATTTTCCTCATCATTTTGAGCAAACTGTACAGTAGGATTAATTATTACCTCAGACAGTGTGAAATGCCATGCTGTTTAATTCTTTGGGATAAAACAGTAAACATGGCGGCATGAAGTAGAGTACATGAAAGGAGAAGTAGCAATTTTCTACAATAACACTTTTAGGCTGATGCTTCATGCAAAAAGGGCAGTTAGCCTATTCCTTATAATGAATTATTTCAAAAAGAAAAACTGCAATGTCTACCTTGGAAATAAGATAACTCCAACACTCTCTTGTTCTACAAGTGAAATGGTTGCCATAAAAAACAGTGATCAAATGTTCGGTCTCTTCTGTCGTGCTGCGAGGTTACTCACGAAGCATGTTTGTTTTGGGGAGGGATCCCCTCTCCGGTTGCTAAGCTCGCTTAAACCCTCCTCCTCCTCCTCCTCCTCCTCCTCCTCCTCCTCCTCCTCCTCCTCCTCCTCCTCACTGGAGCCCCCCTTTGTCTGCAACCAGCCCCTGCCTCGCCTTGCCCTGCGGCAATGGCACCCCTGCCCTGCCCCCTCCCTCGCCTCACCCTGCAGGACGAGCCTCCTGCCCACCGCCCCATCCACCAGAGACCCCCCTGGATCTTCCCCAGCCCTCCCGGCCCCCACAGGTGTCCCTCCCCAGGAGCAACATCGAGGTGGCCATGCCCACCCAGTCAGTCATGCCAACCATAGCCACCCCCCCCCGTGGGCCACACCCACGCAGCACCCTGTGATACATAAGTGGGTTGCAATTTGGGCACTCGCTCTCTAAAAGGTTCACCATCACTGCTCTAGGATCTTGCCTAAGGCCAAGTGCTCGAATCATGTGACTGGTATTATGCCTGTAGTATTGCCTTTCTCACACATTTTTAATCCAGTTAAAAAAGTTGCTAATTTTTTAATGCCCTAAATGACTTGTACAGTATTGCCTAAATTCATCATGCTACCTGATGTGATTTGCATAATTTTGGCTTAGGTGTATCACATTTATTGATGTATGTAATCTATTTGTATGTCACCTGGCTTAAATCATCATAAGAACTTGAATTAGACAATGAATTTGGCTGCAAAAATCTGGACCGCCACTAGATGACAACAAAACCATGCCGAAACTCCCAACCTTTTGCTGCCATCTACTTGCTCTCTGGGTCTGATAACTTTAGCGGAGAATCTTGCATAAAGCCAGCTAGCCGAGGACTTCTGCGGGTCGAAGTCCACATAAAGTTGCCAAGTTTGAAAAATTATGATTTCTTTGGTAAATGATGGTTTCTGTGGCATCACTTGGATCACTATGCCTATCTATATACGTCATGATGTAGCATGCCCCGCCCAAGAAGTTAAAGATAGGGATGAATTGAGGGCGGAAGCTTTCCTCATGCCTGGTACTTATCTGAGCATGCGCCTCTCCAGAGCGGTCCCGTTTATTTTGACTTCGCTCTATGGCGTTCCTGCTGTAGGCATTTGGCGCATGCGTATTGCGAAAACGAGAAGCGGTGGAGTTCCAGGAACCGGCAGCGGGTGAGCGTGGTTGTGTTTAGCCTTCGTGGCGCCGCTGGCCATGGGCTGAGCTTGACGGGCTCCGGGATTTCCGCGTGGCAGGCCGGGCATAAAGCGGCCGCAGTGACGGTGTTGGAGGAGGCCTGGCTCCGAGGATGGAGAGAGCCATGGAGCAGCTGAACCGTCTCACCAGGTCCCTCCGTCGTGCCCGCACCATCGAGCTGCCGGAGGGTAAGAGCGCACGCTACGGGGACAGTAATGCGAGATGGGTGTGTGCATGTCCGAAGAGCTGTGGCTTGCAGGTCGAGGATCATAGGAAGGAGGAAGGAGTGAAAAGAAAAAGTCTTAGATTCTTTTGGCGGCGGGGGGGGGCAGAGATCTAGGAGGAAAAGTACTTCTAAAACTGGAGACGCCGTATTATACTCAAGTGTTTTTTGGAAGTGGTTGACTTGCAGCTTTTTCCTTATTTTCTTCCCATTTACTAATCAAATACATCAGGAATTCCTTCTCAGCTAAGCAAAGTCAGAACAAAGTGTGCTGAAGTTCGGCACTTATGTCAAAGAAGGGATGAATTGGAAAGGATCTTCTAGGTTTTGTAGTGTAACGCTTTGCTTGCAGCGGGAATCTACTAATTATCCAAGATAGTGGCTACCTAGATCTCCTTTAGAAAACCTCAAGCCACGGGAATTCATTTGCTCATTTAAGTAGCTATTACTTAAGTACTGATTTAATTTTCAGACCATTTCTGATATGAAGTCTGAATGTTTCTTCACATTTCAATCACTTTTCCTTGGTATTTGGCAGTAAACTACCAGGCAATTCAATAACCTTGGTCCAGGCATTTTGGGCAGGGTTGAATTTTTGAAGGGAAATGGTTTGTAACTTGGACTCGGCTGCTGCTCAAGCAGCAGGTGGAAATTGGCCAGGATGTACTTTGTACATGCTCTATTTATGCCCTCACTTGGACCATGCTTTGGCAATGGTAATTTAAGCCCTGATAACCACTCATATGGACTACTGTCATGCATTTTGCAGAGGGCTTGGAAGTTGCAGCTGGTACAAATATGGTGACCAGATTATGGGTAGGACAATCAGGTCCACGTAGAATTTCACCAATGTTATAGTTGTTGCATTGGTTAGCAGGAGGCTTCTGGGCCCAATTGAAATTGCTGGTCATTATTTTTAATGTGGCAGGACTGAGATATATCAGATAACACCATATCAGAATTTTATTTATTTGTTGTATTTTTATTCCAAGCAATTCTCAGTGTTCATATTAGAAAGTGAAAATATACAGCAGATAACTGCAAATGGGCACTAAATATAAAAACAATAGTACCATAAACAGAAAGGGGATTACATCATTTCCCAAATGCCTCTGGGGTAAATCAATATTAAATTATTTCTGAAGGTCAGCAGCAAGTATGCTAGCCTGCCCTTAAAATGTGACTGAAAATCCTTTCTCCCTGGCCCAGAGAACCATCAACAGGTTTATGTGTGGTCTATTCTAGATAGTTTAGTTAATAATAATAATTATTAATAATAAATTGGAAGGGACCTTGGAGGTCATCTAGTCCAACCCCCTGCTCAGGCAGGAAACCCAGTGTTGGAGCATTATATTTTTCTCCATTCACTAGTCATTTTAACTTGCAATTTACATCCTCTTTCTGTGTAATTTTCATTTTAAATTTACTTTTTTAAAATACTTATTCCTTACCAGAGAATAATTTTATTGTTGCTGTACTGTTCATGCTTACGTTATTTGTGTTGATAAATAGTTGCAGCACATTTGCTTCTATTTTTTTTTTTGTTAATATTTTATCTACTGCTCCTTCAGAAATACAGTATTTTGAGATGAGGATGTTATTTAGTTGCTGAGGGAAGTAGTTTCAAATGAATTAATGCTATTTAAAGATTTCCTTGGGTACCTCATGGGACGGAAGCTCTACTTGTTTGAAAAATACTATGTAATGAAGAATATACAAATATCCTTTATATACCATAATGATTAACAGATGTTTATTGACTGTAACCAGAAAATGTCTGTACTGGAAAAACTTTGTCGATGCTTCTACAATCTTGTCAAGTAGCAAGGTCATTATATGCTTCAAAATGTATTACAGCTATAATTTATTTTCTACACAGATAGTGAAACTGCTGTTTACACGTTAATGCCAATGGTTATGGCTGATCAACACAGGTGAGTCTTCACAAGCAGCTCTGTAAGAAAAATTGTTGAGGCTTTGCATATTGGATCACAGGAAGAACTATTTTTTTTTTTAATATGATGAAGGTGCAATATTTGTGTCTAAAACTGTTTTTTGTTTGATCTCATTTGAAGCTTATTTTTTATTTTTAAAATTATGAAATGTTTCCATCCTAATCGTGATAGAGGTGACAAAAGAGATTGTTTTTGAATGTTTCTTGCTTGTGATCCAGAAGTGTTACAAAAACTTCAGCCAAATTTGAAGAAAATGCCAGAGTTGAATAAATTGTATTTTCTCATTCCATTGTTTTGAAAAAATGAAGCAATTATTCACAACTGGTTTTTTGAAGGTGATAACCTAACAAAGCTGCTGATAAGCAAGCTAGAACTGCACTGCTCTTATTTTTTCAATGTGTATGTCAGTTTTAAACTGGGTAAATTTTATAAAAAAAATATACTTCTATCTTGGGTGTAGTAATCATTCCCATGAATAAATTTAAATTGGAACTTTTTACAATGATGTTTCCTATATAAAATAGAAAATTTATAGGACTGTTTTAAGCACTGTTAGTGAAACATAGGAAAACGAATGAAAAATATTTTGTAATTATGCCATTAAGTTGGGTTCATTTCCTAGTGACTGCTTGCTCTATCAGCCTATCTCTAGCAGTGTACATATTGTAAGTTTTTCCAGTAATATTCCCATAACCCCTTTGAATCTATCTACCTTATCTATTTTCTTTCCCTTCTACTTCTTCAGCCTTGCCAAGTACAAACACTTTTTGTCTAGTTCAGTGATGGCGAACTTTTTAGAGACCGAGGCCCAAAAACCGCTCCCCATCCTGTCCATGCTCTGCCCTGCCCGCTGGGCCACCCACCACCTCCATGGCCCACCACAGATCACCCAGGCAGCCCAGCAGCGCCATGGCAGCCAGGTCCTCCGCCCATGCCCTGCAGCATCATCTGCGCACGATGGGGCGCAAGGGCAGAGTCTTGTCCCCACTGCCCAGCTACCATGTCCTTGGCTGCGCTGCTTTGCGTGGGCTGTGCCTGGGGGCGACTCTCCTCTGGGGAGGCTGCTGGTGAGGGGGCTCTGGGAGGAGGCGGGACTGGGGTAATGGTGCGTGTGCCCACAGAGAGGGCTCTGAGTGCCGCCTCTGGCACGCGTGCCATAGGTTCGCTACCACTGGTCTAGTTCATCATTTGTTAACATCACACACATGTTCGTTTGGCATTTTTCTTTCCATGTATGGCTTTATTCATCTTTTTTATTTGTTTAATAATCTGTACATTCTCTTGCATTTGTTTCTCCAGTACAGTTATATTAACTGGTCTTTTAAATTTTTCAGGCCACAGTTTTGTTTTGTATTTATTAACATAGGATGTTAGTACATCAGTTGCCTCTTCTGAATTCCTAAACAGTTCAGTAGGTATTTAGCTTTGTCTGTGCTTCTCTCTTCCTTTACAATGAAATCACTTCCTAAATATATTCTTTATTGACACATCATTCTATAATCCTCTTTTAAAGGATTTTAATAAAAAGTGCTCTATCTTCCTTTAAACCTGCAGTTGCCCATTCTTTTCTGTGATTATTCTCGAGTATTCTTTCAAAACGTATGGTGGTTGTGGTTCTTCTGATGTTCTTATTATATTCTTCCTTTTATTGATTAAGAGGTCTGTTTTGTCCTTTCTTCTTTGCTATTGAAAATCTATATTCCAGTGTGCTTTCTTTTTGTGCCATAAACTTTCATTCTGGCTGTTACGATAGCTTATTCTGGCTGTTACGATAGCTTATTCTGAAAACGACCTCAATCTTACTTGAAATTTGGAGAGGTTTTTTTCTCCTTTGGGTAACTCTTATCTCCTCTCATTATTTCTCAGATTCATAGTTACTTAAGTATACTGAGTATGTTTCTTACATTGATCTTATGCTGTGACTATTCATAAGTTATGTCTTGTTGGAACACCTAATCTATATATACGAGGGCAATTCAGAAATAAACCTCCGTTTGGTTATCAATGATAGACACTCGCAGAGACAGAACTTTTACTATACGCCTTAGAAAACTACAATGTCACATTACTTTTTGACATAATCGCCATTCAAATTGAGGCACTTGTCGTAACGTCTTGCAAGGTTTGAAATTCCTTAGTAGTAGTCACTTGGCGCCAAATCTGGGCTACAGGGATGTGTGATCAAAAACATCCCAATGGAACTGTTTCAGAAGTTCTTGGGTGCATCGAGTGATGTGCGATGAGCATTATTGTGAACCAACACCACACTGGAAGTGGTGCCATAGAAAATCCCGCCAAATGTGAAGATGCCAAAGGAGTACTGCTGGTGAAGTTCATGGAGCGAGATTCGACCATCAGTTCAGAAGTCTACTGTGAAATGTTACGAAAACTCAGATGAGCTATACATAACAAGCATCGGGGCATGTGATTTCTGTTGTGTTGGTTCACAATAATGCCTGCACACTGCTAGACGCACCCAAGAACTTTTGAAGCAGTTCCGTTGGGATGTTTTTGATCACCACTCCCCCCCACATAGCCCAGATTTGGAGGTTTATTTCCAAAGTGCCCTCGTATATAATACCAATAACTAATGGTCTGTGGCACAGTTTCTGAAAGTGTTGAGACGTCCGGATTATAGGGTGGCTGAGAGTAATTATGTAGGTGGGTATATTTCATGTTAATCAACACCTCTTAAAATTTGCTGTGGAACAATTAAAGGACACTTGCACATCCTGTTTTTAAATATTCCACTGATGCAATTAAAATTCAGCTGAGTATCCAAATTTAAACAGCAGTAAGGTGGGGTTCTTGTTTTCTTTGACTTACAGTGATGTGTCATATACAACAGCTATCTGTCCCTATTAAAAGTAGCTGAAAATACAGCTAACTAAAATATGTCTTAGATCTGTTTCAGAGTTGCTTTCAAATTCAAAATTTGATGTCAATTATGCATTTGGACGTGTGAAGAGGAGCTTGCTTCATATTGCAGCTAAGTAAGACAGTCCTCAGAAGGTTGTGAAATGTGTTAATAATCTTTCGTTGTATGCCCCATATTTTTGAAAGTTATTTTTATTTTTAGAATATATTAAATCATATTTTAATTTGTGCAATGATAACATTTTTTAAATAAAACAAGCAATCTTAAAGAAAAGGTAAAAAATAAAAATAAAAATGCAAGCTAAAAATATAAAGCTTTTTTGTATCTTTGAGTGAGTGCCTTCCAGTTGGGTCTTGGCAATTGCCTGGACAAGTCCCTGCAGTTTTATTGGCAAGATTTCAGAATGGTTTGCTATTGCTTCCTTTCTAGGTCTGAGAGTGAATGACTGGCACAAAATTATTCAGCTGGTTTTGTCTCTAAGGCAGGACTAGAACTTACCATCTCCAGGTTTCTAGCTTGGTATGTTAACCACTACAACAAACTGGCTCTCATAAACACACACACACAAACACATCTTTTGATTAGTAGCGAATATTGTCTTTTCCAAAACAGATAAATCATAAATTTCCAATAATCTTTCCTTGACAAATTGAATAATATCAATGTTCCAAGTTGTTAATCTAATTCTTCCCTTCAGTGTGCTGCTTGCTCTGTACAACCACCATTTCTGATAAACACTGAAATTCCAAAACTTTAGTATTTAATTCAATATCACATTAATATCTTTAACATTTAAAGATTTTCCTATATATCTAGTAATAAACATTAATACATTTTCCCACATATGCTAAATGATCACATGCCCATATCATATGAGTCAGTGAGCCCTTTTGCGCCTCTAGCATGGGAAAGATGATGTCCTTTCAAGTACATTCTTTGAATGTATTCTTTCCAATATACCCCAAACTTAATTTTTTGATGAACCAACCTTCATCTCAAATCTGTAGATATTATTTAAACTTCTTAAGGGCTAATTCAATGAGGCCATAGAAGTGGCTTTATGGAAATTCTAGTTATTTACATTTGAAATATCCCCGAAATGTCAATTTTAAAAATGTTCTTGAGCTTTTGTTAGAGATGCCCTACAGGTTTTATTTCTGTCATGTATTTCATTAAGTATCAAAGTAACTCAGGTGCCTTTGAGGCATAGAATGTATTAATAGTATGTTGAGAAGTCTGTAGGATTTGTCCATTCTTGGAAGCAATTTTTGTGTTTGAGCAGCAGTTTGAAATACTGAAAGTATTTTTGCAGGACAGCTCTTTGTGCCATATTCCATACAATAGACTAGTAATTTTTAAAAACATCAAAGAACCCCTAATTTAAGTACTTGATAACTTATTTAACATGTTCAGCTTTCCCTTCAGTTTCAATATTTTAGTTACTCTGTAATAAACAACTTTTTTATCTTGGCTGATCATCTTAATTTTTAGCTCAATTTTTTTAAAATGATAAGTTGAAATGAAAGTCATAACTTTCAAATTTAATGTTATATCATTATGTTGCTGCTTTTTTGTGAAAATAATCCTTTTCTACTGTTTTTTTGTTAAGATATTTCTAAATTTTCTCCCATAGCTGTGGATCAGTTGAATGTCTAATCCTGTTGCTAAAAAAAGGTGCAAATCCCAATTACCAGGATATTTCTGGGTGCACTCCACTTCATTTAGCTGCTCGGAATGGGTAAGTTCTAATAATCACCTTTAACTATTTGAGTAGTAGCTGTTACAACAATAGCTAAGTATTGTACAGTTTTTGATCTTTTAGTGCAGCTTTTTAAGAGGCCTAACGTAATCTTCGTTGAAATATAGTGATGCTATACATTAGTCAGATTTGAGGATTGTTTACGCTTCAGAGTAATACTTAACCACTATAAGAAGCTATAATTTTGTTCATCTTCTGGGTGTCTTAGATGCAAATATTGCCAAATAAATTATGTTCCATATTTTTGAGATTTAAAGGTATGCATGAAAAATGATATTCGGGTTCAATCCAAGGAAACCGACAACCTGCATTAAAAATGTTCAAATAATGTAGAGATGTTTCTGAGCTTTAATTTTAACTACATCTAATTTCATTCTTTTTTTCAAAATTAGAAATATGTTTATAGGGTATGTTTAAATATAATCGAGTTTATAATAACAGGTTTAGCTTAGTATTTCATTTTCAGTCCAACTGAACTGAGACCATGGTTATAGTACTATCAGGTAATTTTTTAATATATTTATATATACTGCTCAAAAAAAATAAAATAAAAGGAACACAAATGTATAGGATCCTATACGTTTGTGTTCCCTTTATTTTTGTGAGCAGTATATTTAGTTTCTACTAAAGTGCTGGTCCATTTTAAAGATTTGAGTTGCAACTCTCTAAGACACAATGATCTTTGTACTCTGCACTTTCAACTAAAGGGGAACCTAGTGTGACTTCATCCATAATTTATACTCAGGGGAAGAGTTGTAACCTGCTCCTGTCACTGGAGAGCTACAGGAATGTCATGAATCAGTGCTAAAATCAAAGGCAGAATGGTGGAGTGAAGGATTTTCAGCCTGTTCTTTCTTTTCCTAAGTTTGGTGACGCATTGCTAAGAATATTCCAAATATCCTGAATGGTCTGAAGAATTTATTTGTGCCACTGAATATGACAGCAAAACAATCAAGTATCTATAATTTAGTTTGGACACATTTTGGAGGTGGGGACTGCAGTGCAGGGATTTACCTCCCAGAGGTCTCCTTCTCTCTTTTCCAGTCTTATTTATTTTTTTAAAAAATACACAAACACAAACTGGACATAATTTTGTCTATGTAATCTCATCTCTGTATACAGCCCACCCTGATTTAAGTTTTAAGGTGATGTCATCTCTAGAAGGAAGAAGAAAAAGAAACACATTTCTGTCCGAACATGTGCAGCAAATGCTCGGTACAGAATGCTATGCATAGACCTAATGACTTTATTAATTTTCTATTTAAAAGAATGTGACTCGGCCTCCACAGGTTCAGATGGAGGAATATTTGCATGTTATACAGAGGGAATTTCCAACATTAAGAAGGCCTTTTATTGGATATGTGGGAATTAAAGTAATTTTATATTATTATACAATTATACAGGTTTATGCTTTATATCACTGCATTGTTATTCCAGTCCCAGTAGTTGTGTGTCATAGCCAATGTGGTCCATTTTTCTTCATGATTTGATCTGTGCCCATGGCAACTTTCAGGAATTGGGGAATTATAAAGGTAGCATGTATGAGGTGTCCAACAATATGATCATGTATAGCCCGGCTAGTGAAAATTGTTTCAAATTTAGACAATCTAAATTCTAAGTCCTTGCGGTATTGTACTTAGCACTCCAATAACAGTTGTTTACCACTGTTGGCTTCTTCCAAAATTTGGTGATCTTTATTTGCAAATCTCACTATTTTGTCATCTTTTCCAATTCTTTGTCCTCAACAAGGATTGGGAATGATAGCAGTATCTGGTGTTCACGGTGTCAGTCTGGATTTTAAAATCCCGTAACATTTTTGCTATATCATTTTCAATGACTCTATCAGTGGCTTCATGTTTCTAATAATACTTAAAACAAAACTTTTTACATAAATGTTGGTGTGATATCTTCCCAGCTTGATCATAACATTTTTTTTGCAATCCAATTATTATATTGCCAGTTGTTCTATCCTTATTTCAGTAAAGCCAATGTTTACTATCCAAACAGATCTTTTTTTTTTTTTTTTGCCTTGATGTCACTTGTTTGCCAGTGGCTGTTCCTGGGCAGCAAATAGCGTTTCATCTCTTTCCTTTTTGAATGTACTGTTCATTAAACCACTGCCATGTTCTGATGTTCCCTGGTTTTCCAAAATGTCTATGAAATACTTTGGTTTTCCATTTTTCTAGTCTGATTTCAAGGTTGTTTTGTACAGTCATACATCAGTTTTATTTTCACAAATAGCCCTTTTTTCAGTGATTCTTTCAATAAAGTGTCTTTACTTGCTTTGATATAATCATGAAGCCTCTGGTGCTTCCTCCTCTTTACTGAATACTAATACTAATAGTTACTGTATTTTGATATATAAGTTATAAACCTCCTTGTGTCCAGTTGGATTGAGGTGGTATATACATTCATTAATGAATAAAACAAAAAAGGATATTGGACATATGACTGATATTTAATTTATTTTTTTCTATGCAGCCAGAAAAAGTGTATGAGCAAGCTACTGGAGTATAGTGCTGATGTCAACATTTGCAACAATGAAGGTCTGACAGCAGTAAGTGCTATAGTTTTATTCCTGCCATCCACATGATCATGGGACACTGCAACTGGTTGTAAATGTGAGCTGGTTTCCAAGTGTTTAAATGACCATGTGGCTGGGGGGGGGGGTTGTAATGTGGCAGTTGTAACTTTGAGGATGGGTTGTAACTAACTTTTTTTTAGATTCTTGTAACTTTGAACATTTGTTAAGCGACTGATCATAAGTTGTGGACTAGCTCTATTTTTATAGACTTTTCTGAAATTTCTAAGCTAATGGAGATCTTAAGTATTCTGTTTCCATGAACATTAGATCATTGTTTAGCACTGAAATGCATGTGAGCAACCTGTAAATTTCCTTGCTGAATACATGCCCTGTTATCTTTTGACCCAGATCCATTGGCTTGCTGTTAATGGACGAACAGAACTGCTTCATGACCTTGTACAGCATGTTTCCAATGTAGATGTTGAAGATGCAATGGGGCAGACAGCACTTCACGTGGCTTGTCAAAATGGCCATAAGACGGTAAGTTGAAGAAGATAGCTTGATCCTGAATGCTCTGGCCTTAACAGTAATCAGACTGTAAACATTTTATATTCAAGATTCCCAATCCCAGAAAATGCCAATGTTATTTATTGACTCTCAGCAGATAATATTGTTAAAAAATAATTGCTGATTTTGAAAATGATGGACTTTTCAGTTCAGCATAAATTTTAAACTATTAGACCTTTTAGACCAGGGATGTCCAACTTGACAACTTTTAGACTTGTGGACTTCAACTTCCAGAATTCTCCAGCCAACCATGGGAGTTCTGGGAATTGAAGTCCACAAATCTAAAAGTTGCTAAGGTTGGACATCCCTGTTTTAGACATTTAGTTATTTCAGTCAGGTTTTAGGCTGGATCATAATGCAGTGACAGCATTAGTTGCACTTGATCGTTTGTGGTGCAGCTGGGATGGCAGTGATTCATCTATGTCTATCATCTTTAGAGACAACATAACCTTGAAATCTGGTAGATTGTATTAATAAGGCTTCTGTCACTTGTACACAACATTCTCAGTTTATGTTAAAACATTTTATAATATTGATAGACATACTTATTTACAAGGGGCTTAATTCATTGGGAAGATATTATTTTAATTCTTAATAATCTAACTGATCTCTCATTTTAATGAACATTATTATTTTTTATTTATTACTAAATTTATATGCAAGCCATCTCACTCTCAGTGACTCTGACGATTATGTGATAAAGTCTAAAATGTAGAGCTAAGGTAGGAAAATAAATTTAATTTTTAATTTTAATTTCAGTATATAAGGTTTTTTTTATTGGAGAACATGTTTTTGGTAATATAGAAACATAATCCTGTAGATCAGTGGAATGCTGGCTATGGAATTCTGGAAGTTGAAGTCCACATGCCTTAAAATTGTCAAGGTTGAGAAACACTGCTGTAGATGTTTGCATGCAATGGAAATAAGTTGCATTGAATTTAGTGAAACTAAAGAGCATAGGATTGAAGCTTAAATCATGTTTATACATTTACTTCATTCATTTTTTTTTCTTTTTCAAAGACTGTTCAGTGTCTTTTAGATAGCGGTGCAGATATTAACAGGCCCAATGTGTCAGGAGCAACTTCCCTCTACTTTGCTTGCAGGTATAACTTTTCTGCCATTTTAAACATTACATGAAATATACTTTGTGTTACAATTGCAATCAACCAAAAGTGACAAAGTACGTATAATGCTGGCTTTGTCCTTCTCACCCCTGTTCTTAATCAACTGCATCAATTGCCTTGGCTTAACTGGACTTGAAACTGTCTTGTGCCAAATGAGACCAATTGTTCACAGTAGGCCCTCACAGTTGCCTTTCTGTTTGTTTCATTAAAGATTTATATGAAATTGATTATGTAATAATCGTAGTATAATTAAGTCCATCTGTGATTTTCACAGTAATGCAACGACAGTAGATGTTTTCTTCCAACCTCTGTGTGAAGGATGTCCTAATCAGTTCTCATTCAGACTTCCTTAGAATCATGCATATTATTTATCAAATGTTTTATGGATTGTAGAAAAGAATGGGTGACAGCAAAGCCTGCATTAACTAGAATTTATCAGGTTTCTTTATTTTATATAGCCATGGTCAAAGAGACACTGCACAGATTCTCCTGATGAGAGGAGCCAAATACTTGCCAGACAAAAATGGAGTCACCCCACTTGATCTTTGTGTACAGGTATAAATTGGTTTCAACTTTATATATGGACAATTTAAATGGACTTGTTCATTGCCATTGTAATCATCAATCATGTAAACACAGTTGTTTAGCATTTTATGGAGGTGTTGACAGATAATGTAAGAACAATTGCTATAGAGGCCACCAACATGGTGCCCACAAAACATAGTTCAGATATCACCTCCAAAACCATATTAGTAACTACCAGATATTCAACTAAAATAATATTAAAGATGGGTGAAATTCCACAAGATATTTTGGGTATATTATTTGTTTGTTTGTTCATTCATTCCTTCATTCGTTCGTTCAATTTATATGCCACCCATCTCAAACAAGTAAATATGGGCAGCAAACAATAATAACATTTAATAAAGCCAATTAAAAACATAATACAAAAATAAAAATTAAGTATAGCAGCTGAGAAATATTATAGTCATATATTATTAGCATAACCAGGAAATGACGCCCAGGCCTGGGTGTATTTATATTTATGTTTTTTCAAAGGAAAGGCCTAAATTCATAGGCATTCCTTCCAGTAGTTTGACTTGAATTGGCGTAAAGTTGATACTGTTTTATATTGTAACATTGTGGAAAATATATTTTTCTGGTCGTCAGTATTCCTTACTGTGGTGAAAGAGAAACGTATCTTTATTTTAGAATTGAAAAAAAGGATTTTTTAAAATTTTGAGATGTGACCTAAAACACTTCCATGACAGTGAATTCTGAGTTTTTGAAAAAAATGGCCATGCCTTCCTAGCAAGGCTATTAAATTTACACCCGTGTGTGATCTTATCAAATTTTTCAGTTATCTTCAGCATTTAAGAAACAATTTTTGAATGTGTAGAAATGCCTGCTTATATGAAAATACTGTTTTTTTTTTCCAGGGAGGTTATGGAGAGACCTGTGAAGTTCTAATACAACATCATCCTAGACTTTTTCAAACAATTATTCAAATGACACAAAATGAAGATCTTAGAGAAAACATGGTAAATTCAGTTTTCCTCTTGTGTTGAACCTAAAATTGATGTGTGGGTGCTTCCTTTAAGTAAATGCATTTTTTCTTCTATGAAATTCTAAATGAATCATGCTTATAGTCAGTTTCTATATATGTTTATTTGGAAAGGCATCTCGATCAAATTTATAGGTATACATTTTCATAGTGTTATCCTGAGAACTTGCATAAAATAACCTCCTTTAAATTCAGTGGGGTTTATATCCATAGAGCTATGCATATATAAACTAGCTCTTATTAGTAGCAGAAATGTTAAGCCTTACTTATGTTAATTAATGTGATAATAAATCTTAATGATTTTTCTTTTTATAACCAGTTGCGCCAAGTCCTAGAACACTTATCTCAGCAGAATGAAAACCAGTATCTTAAAATCTTAACGAGTCTTGCTGAAGTAGCTACTACGAATGGCCATAAATTGCTTAGGTAACATAGTTATTGTTATTCCTCCTCCTTTTCCTGCAATGATATATTCTGATTGCCATCAAGCTGAACTTACGTAGATTCAAAGATAATAGGGAAGCAGCTAGAATTTTCTGAACAGACACAATGGTTTTGTTTACAGAGGAAAGGAAGTAAAGCTAAAATAAGGGGTTGAATGTGAAAATGCTTTAATGATATTTATGTCAATAAAGAATAAGCATCATGTCCCATTCAGATGCTTGGATTAGAGATATAGAGATACAAGATATGGATACAGAACTAGCATCATTTTCTGCATAGAGCTCTTGTCCCTTGCAAATGGAATATGACAGTGGTTCTCAACCTGTGGTCGCAGACCCCTGAGGGACTGTGGTATCATCACAGGGGGTCCATGAAGGCTTGAAGAAATATTATGATTTAACTTTGAGTTAAGTCTTGGGGGCCAGGGTCTGTAGCCACAAAAGGTATTTAAAGGAGGTCCGTGATAAAGAAAAGATTGAGAACTACTGGAATATGACATAGTAATTGATTGGATAGCTTATCTATATTATTTAAAGTCTCCGTCAAATGATGGAGATTTGTGAAATGACTCCTCTATATTTTGATGTTTGAATATGTTTGGAGAATGGGGCCTTCAGTCTTTATTATATGATTACTTAGAGTTATTGCATTCCTGCAATATAAATTTTCTATATACATTTTGTTAACTAAAACAATTGCCTATGCTTTATTTCAGTTTGTCAAGTAATTATGAGGCACAAATGAAGAGTCTATTGAGGATAGTGAGGATTTTTTGCCATGTCTTTCGTCTTGGTCCATCCACTTCCAATAATGGAAATGATATGGGCTACAATGGAAATAAAACTCCAAGAAGTCAAGTGTTCAAGGTCAGAAAAGTAATGCTACTACATATTAGTAGAAAAATAGATAATACAGAGAGGAATTTTTATGGTATCATGTTTGTGTATGGTAATCCACATGAGAAGAAAATAAATTTGTTTGATATCTATTTAAGTTGGCCCGCCTTGATTTTTCTCTTCCCCTATAATCATTACTGTTTTATATTTATGTGTCTAAAGTTAATTCTATTTAAGATGTTAATACATTTATGCAGATTGCATATCTTTAGTTGATTAGTTTAATTACTTAGACCCAAATTTATCCGGTACAATATCTGGGCTTTTGGAAACAAAGTTAGATTTTTTTTATGTTTTATTATTTCTTTGAAAATCTCTATGTTGTGTGTGAGGCAGTAGATTTCTTAGATAAAGGTTTTGGTGGAAGATTTAATATTTATAGTTTCTAGTTACGGTAATTATTTCCCTTTTGCACAGGCATGTCAAACTCGCGACGTCACGTGACATTGCGCAATGTATTGGGCCAGTTTTGCCATTGCTGGCAATGGGGTGGGCGCGGCTTCCACGTGATGCGTCTGGCCCGTGGGCCGGCAGTTTGACACCCCTGCTTTTGCACATGATTTCCATGACTATCATCTTCTAATACTTATACATACATTTTTTATTTACCTAAAGGCATGACAACTGTTTCTCATTTGTCTGATACTGTGATGCTTCTTGCAATTGAATATTTATTCGACTTGTTTGTGGCTTTGTTAACTGTGAGGTTTCAAATATTGAAGTAATGTTTTTACTCCTTGCCTTTATTATTGTCACATGATTATGTTACTGTATGAACAAAAAAAAAGAAGCCAAACTTTCACTTCTTGTTTCATTTATTTTATAAATCAAGTTATCTAACATTCGATGCATTTAAGTAATCCCTAAATGTAATTCTACAAACAGCCTTCTTACCACTGTTGTTACTTGGGAAAGCAGAAAGTGAAGAGACTCTTGGGAGACTCTTGAAACTGTGGTCTATTTTTTCAGCAGGAGTCTAACCCATCAAGACTCCAGTAACCTCCAGAATGGCTAGCAATACTTGACTAGGAAATATCTGAAGGACACCAAAAATGGAAAATGTTGATCCAGCTTCATAAAGAATGCATTTCATTCTTCATTACAATGAAATTTGACATTGCTGTTTATTAACTCATCAGTTACAATCCTTTTTAACAGTATAAACGCTTTTTTCTTTCTATATACCTGGTGGAAGTTGAATTTCAGAGTGTTTGACTTGCCCAACTCATACTTTGCTGTCATACTGATAAATTAATGACAAAAATAAATTATCCTATAAATTGTGGATATTTTTTCTGCCAGCTATTCAAAAACTGTAATCTTGCATTGTTACTGTTTAGGTCAGTGATGGCGAACCTTTTAGAGACCGAGTGCCCAAACTGCAACCCAAAACCCACTTATGCATCGTCGAGTGCTGGGTGGGTGTGGCCCATTGGCTGGGCGTGGCCCATTGGCTGGGCATGGCTGCGGTGGTAACAGCAGACTGGGTAGGACTAAAAAGTTCAATCAATCAATTCCAACTTTGCAAGATTTTTTTTTCCTGCGAGAAGTTGAAATTGACTGATTGAACTTTTTTTTTTTGCACACGGCGGCGGAGGCCTAAAGTGAAAAGGTTTTATAAAACTCAGCTGAAGGCCTAGGACGGGGGTGATGGCGTGCATGCCCACAGAGAGGGCTCTGAGTGCCACCTCTGGCACCCATGGCATAGGTTCGCCACCACTGGTTTAGGTTATTCTTATAGAGATTTCTATAATAAATGATTGGCATTTGTATATATTAGAATATGTGATTTGTTTGGTATTTGCAAAGTGTGATTATCTGCAATCTCTTTTAAGAATTGGGAAAGAAACATACTGATGTTTTCTGCTGTGGTAGAGATTCTTTTAGGTTTTAACTGCTGGATTTTAGATCATCTGCCCCCTCCCCCTCCCCTTTCCCCTCCCCCCCTCCTCCTCCTTTTCAGCAAGTGCAGGATCAACTTTTTCTCCACATCAATCTAATTTTGATCGATTGGTTGCAACAGGAATTAATCGATCAGCTTGTTGCCCAAGCTTGATGTGAACCTGGCTAAGAGAGAGTAACTGGTCCAAAGTCACCCAGTCAATTTTCATGCCTAAGGCGGGACTAGAATTCAGTCTCCTAGTTTCTAGTCCAGCAACTTAACCACTACACCATACTGGCTCTCATTTATTTCTTTTTAATATTTTATTTTAATATTTATCAGGAAAATGGTTATTTTTCATGACAGAGAATATGCCAGAGGAAATGGCTTCCCTACTTGTTTGTTTAAAAAAGGAAAATACCTTAGAATTGCCAGTGTTCATATCAGTAAATGCATACAATAAACTATTGTACATTGACCTAAAATTTATCCCCTTAACTTATATTTGGTAGCCTTTGGAATTACTTTGGCACTCATTAGACGAATGGCTAGCCCTAATATCTGCAGAATTAATGAAGGACAAAGCCAACATCTCTTCTATCTTGCTGAAGCCAAAAGGACCCAGTCAGCAAGAAGATAGCATTCCTACACCGACTTTTGAAGTAGCTTCAAGTGAGACGAATGCACTTTCTGTGGAAACAGAGGGATCTAAAATGTATGAAGTTGGCAGTGCCCAGGAAGCTTACGTGGACTGCCAAGATGTTATTTCTGTGACAGCAAACCGGCTGAGTGCTGTCATTCAAGCATTTTATATGTGTTGCTCTTGTCAGATGCCTCAAGGGTAAGTTTCAGAGCTTTTCATTTCCTTCTTCTTCCAGATCATTTAAAACCTGGTTTATTCTCTGCTTCCCATTAAGTGACCTGCGGGTCTTGGGGTTACAGTGATACCCGGGGCTGGCTGGATTGCTGTTGCTAAATGTTGTTACACCACACTTTTCTACCACATTGCTTAGTGACTGCAGTCTTGGTCCCGATTGCCATTGTAACTCAAGGCCTGAGTTAAATAATCGACCTGTGAATACTGAGATCTCTGTTTCTGTCCTGTCACCAGAAGCCATATATGATCCCAGCAGAATTCTGGAGAATCACCAGAAGTAAATGTTAACTTAAAGAAGGATTTACACTTTCTCATTTATTTATTTGAGAATGCACTTAATTGTCAGGAGACAGGTCAAATAGGAAAACTGTGAAAAATGAGAGCAAGATAATAAAACTCTTGGACCATCATAGCCAGTGGAGGGATGTCACAAAGATTATACTCATTTAGGGCTCCCCCAAAGAACTCTTAGGACCCCTTGGAGTTAACTCTGGGTAGGTTACATACCATTAAGTCACAGTTATTTAACAATACGTCATGTATACATCATATTGACGTGGTTCACGCACCACAATGGATCAAACCAACAAGTTATAGGCAAGTGCAGTATATCATCTCATCCTTTGTATTATCACAGTGATAATATGTACAACATATATAATATCTATGTATATGTAATTGTATGCTGGGCTCTATTTTAAAATAACATATTGTATAACAAGTGTTCAAATTAGATTATTAGACCATTAAAGGGGTTTGAACCTTTCTCTGGGAGTGCTTCCATAGCTGAGTGTTTTTGTAGCTTTTTTCACCCATCTACTCTATTAAATTAGAGTTTATGCATATTTTTTAAATTATCCTTTCAAAAACCTTTATGGATAAAATGTTTAATATAGAGCAGGTAACCTTAATGAAGCTGCTTCAAAAGTAGTTTTTTTAATATCTTGGAAAGAAAACATTGCAATGAATTATTTTTTACAATAGTTACTTTGTTAAACTGTTTGGACTTTTGTTGCAGAATGACATCTCCTCGCTTCATAGAGTTTGTCTGCAAACACGACAATGTTCTTAAATGCTTTGTAAACCGGTATGTCACCAGAAATACACATGCTTCGTAAGTTGCGCGTAGCTCAGTGAAAGTAGTTGCCGTAACTGGTTGGAATGCTTATCTGATTCTTAGTAAGATTCTGGATACATTTTTATTCTTTTGAAACTTTTCTAAAATAATTCCCGAAAGGGATGTTAAAAATCATCTGATGAACCGCTGTCGATTAGTTAACAAAAAGCCAGTGTGGACTACTGTCCCATCTCTTCTTGTGCTTGTGGGGGAAAAGTTTTGGAAATAAAAGGCTTGTTCTGAGTTGCTATTGTTTTGTGTAAGTCAGGGGTAGGCAACCTTGGCTCTTTTATGACTTGTGGACTTCAACTGTTGAAGTCCATGAGTCATAAAAGAGCCAAGGTTGCCTACTCCTGGCATAGGTGGAACACTTGAGCGATTCCAAGTATTGCTCTATTAGAATCAGCCAACTTGGAATGTTACAACAAAACTTTTTCAACTCAGCTGTTTAATTTTGAGTTTGATGCAAGTTTTCTATTTCACCCATGCTCCTTCTTAGACTTAAATATTGAAGTTCACTGTAATTGTTCTTGCATTTAAAACAGGTAAAAATTCCATCTGAGTTGATCTATATTTGACCTGAATTAGTGAGCTCTGTTCTGTTCTGTTTGTTTTTCTAGAAATCCTGAAATTATATTTGATCACTTCCATTTCCTTCTTGAGTGTCCTGAACTTATGTCCAGATTTATGCATATCATAAAAGCACAGGTAAATATTCAAAGCCTAATTTAAAATTCCTCTCCCCATCCAAGTCCTGCTGTGTAGCCTTATGGTGGTGGTGCTGGGGTCTCCTGGGAGGGATGAATGAAGAATGTCATTAGTATAGTATATGCCATAGTCATGTCAAGGCTGTATATTCCCAGGAGGGTGATCAAAGGAATAAAGGTAATCCCAGCTTCCCAGCTAAAGGAAGTAAGCACCAATATTGGGCAGCAAGTATACCGAAAGATGTTTGAAGCAGACGATCACTTTACTGACAATGGCAAAGGCATCAATTCATATTGAATTGAGAAAGTAGTGGTAAACCACATGGATAGAAAATATAAAATGATTGATGATACAGTGCCAGATGATGGCACTCAACATGCTACTGAGGTAGTATTTATTTCACAGATTAAAGCCTTTGTAATGTTTGCTAGCTGATTTTGCAGTGCGAGAAAAGAAAAGCTGAAGCTCTAAACACAAAATCAAGGTGGAATATGGAATACAAGAAACACAAGCATGGGAAAGCTTAACACAATGAAAGATGAAATGCATCTATTACTCATTGACATCTTAGCTATTAGCAAGTTAATATGGACTGGAACTGGATGCTTTCAGTCAGAAGAGCACACTGTTTATTTCTCAGGACATGAAAAATGGCAGTGTTTTCATCATTAGGAATGGTTTAGCAAGAAACTAAAATCCAATTACTGACAGAATAATAATCAGTTAAGAGTTCTTGGATAACGCTTTATGAAGATTATTCACGTTTATGCGCTAAACACTGATGCAGGATAAGAGGAGATTGATGAGTCTGACTATTAGTTTGAAATTGATTAAAGATGTAAGCAAGATGTGCTACGTCTGGTTGAAGACTAAAATGCCAAAATTAGAAATATTAAGAAAGAAAAATGTAGTTGGGCTAGAGTTATTTTCTTCCAAATGACAAGGGATGATTTGTCACCTATGCAAAGATTTTAAGCAGGAGAAGGACAATCTATATTTTCAAAGAGTGGGAATTACTCCCAACTGCCCCTCTCCCACTTTGCAGTCTTGGGGATCCCTCTGATTGAGATTGCAGAAAATTGAAATGAGGAACAAGTTAAAAATGTACCGCAAATTCATATCGCGGAGAACCCCCCCTCCGAAGATCCTGCTCAAAGACCTTTCTAAACCAAGCACAACTATTTGTATTGTGTGGCCTAACTCACTTTACAACCTTTGATTCTCCCAGTTTTTTTCAGTTGCCTCTGAAAAAGTTGCCTGCTGTGTAATCAGTGGGATGAATCAACAGAACCATTTTGCTAATTCTCTATGTCCAAGATAGCTTTGCACTTTTATACCTTATTAGGCATTGTGAAAATACATCCTTCCAAATGATGGGAGTCTTTCAAAACATTTTGTGATATGCTGTTTGAATCTCTTCTGCTAAGAAACAAACATTATGCTGAATTTTTGCACGGAAATCATAATCTTTGTCTTAGTGTTTCTATTTTTAATTCTACCCTCCCTAATAAATCAAACATTTATTCTTGCATATTCTCCTTAGCCGTTTAAAGATCGCTGTGAATGGTTTTATGAACACTTGCATTCTGGACAACCGGATTCTGACATGGTTCATAGGCCTGTAAGTGAAAGTGACATTCTATTGGTTCATAGAGGTAAGGAAGTTCATGTGTATAATATTCTTTGTATTAAATACTTACATATTGAACAAAAGTGAGAAATTAATGTTTTTCATATTTAGATTCTATTTTTAGGAGCAGCTGTGAAGTTGTATCTAAAGCAAATTGTGTAAAGTTGAAGCAAGGAATTGCTGTACGTTTCCATGGTGAAGAAGGCATGGTGAGTAACATTATATACTGGATAATAACTGTATCATGTGGTTTTTAGGAGCCCAGTTTCCTTAGGATAGAAATTGTTCAAAAATTGTTATAAAATTTGTATTAAATGAAGGAGAAAATACTCCTTGGCTGTTGAAATGGGCTTGAGGTAGATATTTCAAAACACAAGTATTTCTGAAAGCAAAGATTAATAGCAGAATTGTGTGTTACTTCTAACCTCCTACTAGTGTTCCTTTACAAAGTGCTATATCTGGTGCTAATGCTTGTGTCTTCTTATTTGAAAACACTGGGTGATTAATCAGGTTTGAGCCATAACTTCTTAAAAGAGGGGTCAGAAGTTCATAACTTCCATGGCAGCTCTAGACCTGCCATTGAAGGTCCAGTACAGATCAACTTACAACCACAGTGGAACCCAGAATTTTGGTCATAAGCAGTTACAGTTGTAAGTCGGGGTACCAGGTGATTGGGCTCAATTTTATGAACGTTTTTACAACAGTCATAATTTGAATTACTGCATTCATTAAGTTAACCATGTGGTTGTTAAGCGAATTTATACTTTTGAATGGGGTTTTTTTTTGGCTGGAAATTGGTAAAAAATGTAAATTGTGGTCATGTGTCCATGGGTCATTGCAAATGGTCATAAATATGAGTTGATTGACAAGCACCCGAAAGGCAAGCCATTTTATACTGATAATGAACATCTTAGCATATTTCAAATTATGCATATGTAATACTATATATACTTTTTCCTTCTAGGGTCAAGGTGTGGTACGTGAATGGTTTGATATCCTTTCCAATGAGATTGTTAACCCAGATTATGCCCTTTTTACTCAATCAGCTGATGGTATGTTGGTGTCTCTTTTTAGGTTACAATACTTATAGTTCATCTATACACCAATGCACAGAGTATGAACAGCAAACAGGGTGAACTAGAAATTCAGGTTAATGAGGGCAGATATGATATTGTTGCCATTACGGAAACATGGTGGGATGAAACCCACACATGGAACACACAGCTAGAGGGATTTAAATTATTTAAAAGGAACAGAACAAATAAAAGAGGAGGTGGAGTTGCTCTCTATATAAGAAATAACTACATCTCTACAAAAATAGAGCACAACAATGATAAAAACTGTCTTGAATGCATTTGGGTCAATATAAAAGGGGAAAAAATGACATTGCCATAAGTGTATACTACAGGCCACCCAACCAAACAGAGGAAATAGATGAACTTTTTGCTAGTCAGCTAACTAACGTATGTAGGAAGCACATCACAATAATAATGGGGGACTTTAACTACCCTGACATCAACTGGGAGACAAACTCTGCACCAAGTGGAAGATCAAACAGGTTCCTCACTAACTTAGCAGACAATTTGTCTCCCAAAAAGTAGAGAAGAGAACTAGGGGATTAGCCATTTTTGATCTAATTCTCACTAACAGAGATGAAATGATAGAAGGTGTTGAAGCCATAGGAACCTTGGGAGGAAGTGATCATGCTATATTGGAATTCCACCTTATGGAAGCACAAGCAATAGAACACAGTCAAACTAGAGTCTTGGACTTCAAGAGAGCTAATTTCAATAAACTTAGAGAGTGCTTGGGAAGGATTCCATGGATGAGAATCCTCAAGGGGAAAACAACTCAAGAAGCTTGGGAAATTTTGAAAAATGAGATAATAAAAGCCCAGTCTAGCACAATACTAACAAAGAGGAAAAATAACAGCTCTCAAAAGAAACCAGCATGGCTGCATAAAGAACTCTCTGACAAATTGAAAGATCAAAAGACAAGTATATAAAATGGAAAGAGGGGCACATAACTAAGTCAGAATATCAGCAAATAGCCCTCACTTCATCCAAAGATGAAGTGAGGAAAGCCAAGGCTCAAAACGAACTAAGGCTTGCGACAAAGTAAAAATAACAACAAAAAAAAGCTTTCAACATGTAAAAAACAAGAAAAAAGTGAAGGAAAAGTGACACCAAGCTGGCAGGAATAGCCAACACTCCAGAAGACAGGCTTAAGATACAGAAGGAGCTAGACAGACTTGAACAATGGGCGCTTTCTAACAAAATGAAATTCAATGGTGAAAAAAGCGAGGTTCTACATTTAGGCAAGAAAAAACAAATGCACAGATATAGTATAGGAAGTACCTTGCTCAATAGTAGTAACTGTGAGAAGGACCTCGGAGTCCTAGTGGACAATCACCTAAATATGAGCCAGCAGTGTGCTGCAGCTGCCAAAAAGGTCAACACTGTGCTAGGCTGCATTAACAGAGGGATAGAATCAAGATCACGTGAAGTGTTAATACCACTTTACAATGCCTTGGTAAGGCCACACCTGGAATACTGCATCCAGTTTTGGTCACCGCGATGTAAAAAAGATGTTGAGACTCTAGAAAGTACAGAGAAGAGCAACAAAGATGATTAGGGGACTGGAGGCTAAAGCATATAAGGAACGGCTGCTGGAATTGGGTAGGTCTAGTTTAATGAAGAGAAGGACGGGAGGGGGGACATGATAGCAGTGTTCCAATATCTCAGGGGCTGCCACAAAGAAGAGGGTGTCAAGCTATTTTCCAAGGCAAGAAGCAACGGGTGGAAACTAAGCAAGGAGAGAAGCAACCTAGAACTAAGGAGAAACTTCCTGACAGTTAGAACAATTAACCAGTGGAACAACCTGCCTCCAGAAGCGGTGAATGCTCCAACACTGGAGGTTTTTAAGAAGAGAATGGACAGCCATTTGTCCGAAATGATATAGGGTTTTCTGCCTGAGCAGGGGGTTGGACTAGATGACCTCCAAGGTCCCTTCCAACTTTACTACTACTACTACTACTACTATTATTATTATTATTATTATCTAAAATATTTAACTGAATCTCTCCCCAGAAATATATTTTTGCTCTAAATTTTCTTACGGTTTACAAGATCCAATCAATCAATCAATCAATCAATCAATTTATTATTACAGCCAAAGGACAACACATAAATTAAACATTCAAATAAAAAAATACTAAACAGAACTAACACAAGAAGACATAGCGATATATTACAATTAATGATGTAATCAATGGGTGACCAAGGTCTGAATCATACTGACTTGACAATAAAAATACATTAAGTATAGCCTAATGCTGGATAAAAACACGTAATAACAATTATAAAAGATTATTAAAAAGATCTAAAATGTTTATTTATGTTTTTGGCGAATCCCCAATGCTGCTGCGCAGAATCTAGCCACCTGCGCCATGATCACTGCCTGATGCAAAGAAATAGTTTTAAAGTATTCTAGTGACTAGTTCTGTGATTTTTAACTGTTACATGAATAGAATGAATAGTGAATCACTGCAGTTATTAAGTTAGTGACACGGTTGTTAAGTGAATCTGGTTTCCCCATTGACTTTGATTATCAGGTGATCACATGACCCCTCCCCCGGAACACTGCAACCATCATAAATGAGTCAGTTGCCAAGTGTCTGAATTTTGATCACGTGACCATAGGGATGCTACAACGGTTGTGTGAAAAATGGTCATAATTCACTTTTTTCAGTGCTGTTGTAACTTCGAATGATCACTGAATGAACTGTTATAAGTCAAGGACTACCTGTATGGCTGCTTTCAGGCCTTTAGATTCAAAATCAAGTGGCCAAACTACTATCCCAAACTTTTAATTACAATTTCTTGACTGGTCTTTTCTTAATCTGAAAATAATGACAAAATCAGAGGTTATTTCTGTATAGAAAGTGAGAATATTGTACATTTTAAAGGAATAATTCCCTCTCTCCAACCTTGAATTTCGGTAGTTTTGGCAGAGAAGGCAGGCAAGCTACTGTTATGTCTACTACTGTTAGGCTGTTGAAATGGGACAGTTGTAATTTGTACAATGACAAGTAAAATTAAAAAATCAACAAAGTCTGTGGTGCCTTAAAAATTCAAATTTTAAGATTCTGTCACCTGTGGAATGAGCAGTAGAGGTTTTCATCCTATTATGTTTATTGATTAATTATAATGTTTATGTTGATTGATGAATTCTTCTTAGTTATTTTATATATTTTAAATTTAGTCATCTACTGTGAGTTATATATTTTGCATTCAATTTACCTATAGCTTTTTAACATTGACCAGATGTATATCTGCCACTGAGGATGACCATGTATAATGGTGTAAAATATGTATAATGTGTATGATGAGGGAATTCTTGTCTACAAAAATTGTATACTATGCTTTTTGAAACTATTTTTATTGCTACAACTGGGATGATTAGAAATCTATTGGTGAAAATCAATTTTTATTTGAAACCAGGATTGTACATCTGAAATATATTTGTTTTCTCCTTTATTGTATTTTTTTGTTCTGGAGAAAAGTTTATTTTTATCACTTCATTTTGTACATTATTCTAAATCTCAAAAACGAAACAAGAGTTTGTAATATAAAGTGACTGATGTTTTAAAAGCTATAAATTTAATCTATTATTTTTTTTTAAAGGAACAACTTTCCAGCCCAATAGCAACTCTTCTGTGAATCCTGATCACTTGAACTATTTTAGATTTGCTGGACAAATCTTGGGTTTAGCTCTTAATCACAGACAACTAGTCAACATTTACTTCACAAGATCATTTTACAAGCATATTCTTGGTATGATTCTATTAAAATGTTAATGGTTTTGTTGAGATGTCTAGTGGATAATAAAGACCTCTAAAAGTTAATTATATTATGTTATTTAAGCCTCTTCCACGCTCTATTACTGTGCTTAATGAGAGCTGCAGCATTACTACAAAAGCAACAATATATATATAAAAAGCTTTAAGCTTCCCATCTAACTATAATGATAGCTAAGCATCTGATGGCACCAATTAGCATTAATGTAGTGCTTTTACAAATGCTTTTCATGTAAAAAATATTTATGTAGATATTACAGCAGTTTAGGGCTAGTTAGCTAATGTGATGGACGTATTACAAATGGCTTGGAAGCTGAAAGTGACAGGCTAAGTATAAAAGGTCCATCTTTAGTGAATCTTTTAGGAAGGATTTGCAAGAGGCTTTTTCTTGTGTTCTGCTCTTAACCACAGCAGTAGCCTATACAGTGTAGCTTTAGTTGTCAACCAGTTAACAATAATTTCGTGGCAACAGAACGGCTTGTAATAAATCACTTTCCTGAAGGCAATCTGTTTCACCCTGTGTTATTTCAGAAAGTCTGTAGAGGGCAGACATTGACCACGAATGAAACCATTTCAGCAGGCAAACTGAATTTTGTTTGCATTGTCTCCAAGGTATTCCTGTAAACTATCAGGATGTGGCATCTATTGATCCAGAGTATGCAAAGAACTTGCAGTGGATTCTAGACAATGATATCAATGATTTGGGGCTAGAGCTGACCTTCTCGGTGGAAACGGATGTATTTGGAGCAATGGAAGAAGTGCCTTTGAAGCTGGGTGGTGCAAGCATAATTGTCACACAGGAGAACAAAGTGAGTCATTGGGGATTACGTTTGTCTGGGGTGATTCTGAAAGATAGCCCCCTTCAATTGGTATACTAACTGCAAAATTGATTCTAATAGGCAGCTTTTTCCTAGTGTGTTGAGAAATTAAACCAGAAATAAGCAGCCATGGCTACCAACTGTTATGAGATATCATACAGAGTCTGTTTAATACGCTAGGCATATTCCTTTATTGGTTCTGAAGGGACAGTGTGTAATAAAACAATAAAACATATGTAGCCTTCTTCTGTGCCTCTTCTTTAATAGTATTCTCATTCCCCTTTCTTATCTATGCTTTGAGAAGCAATTCAGTCCTAGATTTCTGTTTACATGCCACTACTTTATACAACTTTTATTTTCATGTCATATTAATAGCCTTTTTAAAGTCTTTAGAAAGTTGTTTAGTGTAGTTTTTTTTTAAATTTGTGCCTTCAAGTAGTTGTTGTACTGAAGTTTTCTTGGCAAGATTTCAGAAGTGGTTTGCCATTGTCTGCTTCCTAGGGTTGAGTGCATAAGTAATGCTATTTCCATTGATTTTAGTGGCAAAGGCATTGCTGAAAAGTTTTGATCATATTCCATTTTCAATAGATATTTATCAGATTTAAAACTAAAAATCCATATGTATGTCTTCCTATGTACATTTATTGCAGGTTGCCAAATCTTGTATGTCTGTCAGGAAGATGCATATAATACAATATGAGTTCAGTTGGTCAAAATTAGAATGAGGTTTATTTAGATTAAATCCATGCAATGATATGGAATAAGTTCATGATAACTAATTTAAACTTCTGTAGATTTTTGTGAGTCTAATCTATGATTAACTAATCTAGATCCAGGCTTACTCTTGATGAATGAAACATATAATAAAACAGATATTTCATTTTTACTTTATTAAGGATGTATAGAAAAGGTGTGGTTTTGGTATGGTTTTAAATAGTGTAGATTGCACATAGTGTAGATTAAATATAATTAAAACAATTATATTTTTGTAAGAGTTTTAGGCAATATACTTGTTACTATTATGAAGTATTTGCAAAGGATCTTTCACAGTCTGCTGTTTCTTTTCCATTTTGTCTTTTGTGTAATACTGCATTTTGTTAGACTAACCAATTGCCATGCTAGTTGGTGACCACTTGGTGTCTCTTTGTTTTTATCTCTTAGCTTTTGTAATGTCACAACCATTTTTTATTTGTTTATTTGGTATTTGATCTTAATCAGCGTGAGTGATTTATGGGAGCTAGTTTCAGGTGATGCAAAGGTATGGATTCAGGTGTTTGAAGAACTATGTTGGAATAGGATATCGGAGAATAAGCAAATCCTGAAGTGAATCTGATTGTTTATCTGAAGGTTTGTGAAAAATAATAATAAAAAATATCAGCCACAACTAAAGTTCATAATTGCCATAATTACTAGAATATGAAAAAAACTGGAATTGTACATTGAAAGATGAATAGACATGTTTTTATTCCTGCATGTTTTCATTAAACTGCATATTTGAAAAGAAAAATCACCTCTATCTTATCACATGTCTCCTGACATTCCCTTTCTTTATTAGTTTACGTTATTGAGGAAACCTTGAAATATCTTTAGTGCCAGTTTGATTCTGAGGGAAAAGTTACTTAATGATTTATGTGGTTAGAAAGATATAATTTTTAAATATTTCCATTGCAATAGACAGCTATAATATGCGGTTTCCCCTGCAAAATGGGGACATCTGTGTAGAGATGTTTTGTATTTTGTATTTGTATTTTGTATTAATATTTCAGTATTGTAGCTGTTGCCTCGTGAGAGGGAGCTCACTATGTTTACCCTGCTTGAAAAATCTCAAATCATACTGACAAAAAGCTAGAGCAAGTAGATGAATTTTTACTAAACATTTACTAAAATGAGGAAACGGAACTTTTAAGATATGCAAATGTTGGTAGAATATTGTGGGTAGTATGCAGTGTTTTGAGAGGGATAAATGTTTGCTGAAAGAAGCAAAAAAACAACAGTATATAAGAACTTGGATTAGTTCATTCCCGACTCATACTTTGAAAGTGCAAGTTGGAATGTCACGAAAAACAAAAGTTGAAGTTGCCATCTGAATTGCTTCCTTAGGTTGTGTGTGTTATAAAACAAGAAGAGGGCAAGAATATATGATTGCTGAGTGAACCTACGCTAAATGCCAAAGAAATGAATGACCTGAAGGGATGAAGCTTTGCTTATATAGAGAGAATGAATGAGAATCAGATTTTAAGGAGGAGAAGTAAGAGGAGGAACAAGTGAATGGCCTGAGAGGAAGGAAAGACAAAGAAAGTTGTTATTGGATGGAGTTGATAAGATCTTGAAAAAGAAACAGCAAAAGGGTTTTAACATGATTCCATACATGCAGTATAGTTTTTCTAAATTAACTTGAAACTGAAATACATTAGATTTGAAGCTCAGGTTAAATCTTCCTGTTTCATGGCATCTCTGTGTAATGAAACCGAAATAATGTTTTGCTAACAATTAAATATGTGCAAGGTAGCTTCTCCAAGCTGGGGGGGGGGGAATGTGGGGGATGCAGAGTAGTCTGTTATGACCTCTTCAATGGAAGAGCTTTGAAGGAAAGATGTTGAGTCCTTTCCCTGGAAATATAATTTAATTCTAAATATACTGGCACATAATACTTTTTTTTTCTAAAATTAGAATTTTAAATATACCTTTCACCAAGATCTCCATATCTGGCTTTCCAGTATTTCTCAGGCTTTTACAGATTATCTACTAATAACAGAGGAAAATAATGAAACTTATTTTATCTCGTTCCCAAATCAACATTACTGTACTATTGTACAAAACACATTATCCATGTGTACCCTCAGATGGTGCAGCAGTATTTCCTAATTCTGTGTCCACATTCTTTTCCTAGCCTTGGATAAAATTTAAATGTGATTTGTGACAATAAATTTATTCTTGTACTACTGCCTACATACAGTATCCTATCTGTTGGAAAAAAAGGAGGATCGATTACAATTGTAGAAGTTAATTATGGAGATTTACTTTTAGATTGCAGAAGCAGAGGCTCCTATGTTCCCCTACTAGTATAGCCCAGTTGAATATTGTGAATATATGGAAAAGGCTCTTTTGAGCGTATTAATATCTTTTTAAAATTCTTTTATTTCTTCCTCTTCTTTTTACTTCATTTAGAACAGTGGTTCTCAATCTGTGGGTCGGGACCCCATTTGGGGTCGAACGACCATTTCACGGGGGTCGCCAAACAACGCAGTCCGCCATTTTTTCTCCCTTTTCCTTAGCTGTGCTACTCACTTTTATTCTATTGGCTTTTGAAAGCCAATAGAATAGACTCTCTTGAATAGAGTCTAATTCTATTGGCTTTCAAAAGCCAATAGGAATTGTCCAGGCTGTCTCTGCCCTGCTGAGCCTGCCAAAAGTCCCATTCTCCAAACAGTGCTGCACCAGTTGAGTAGTCCTCGACTTATGACCGGTTGAGTAGTCCTCGACTTACAACTGATTGGGGGTCGCGGCATTAAAAAGGTTGAGAACCACTGATTTAGAACTTGAATAATAAGATTTTGGCATTGGCTTTTTTTGTACATAGGTCATTCTATAAAGCTCCATATATTCTGATTATACAATAGCATTAGCAATGCTATTATGTTATGTGTGTAGCAAGTGATTTCAGCATGACAGCATACTTGAAAGCATAGTGAAATTCTTTCATGTAGTATAATTCTGCTTACTGCTGGTAAACCTTCACTGGCAGTAGAAAACAGCTTTGCAGATGGAATTATTAGACATAGGCAATTGCTCTGCTCATATCAGAGGAGGCTTAGGTGTTGATTTTTGAAAAATCCAGTTGTGATGTACGGTAACCTTTTTCTGAGAAGAGAGATAACTATGAAGAACATGATGAAGGGAGCAAGACTGCAGTTTGAGGTTTGTTGGTGAGGAATATCTGCTTACTTGGCCAGATAAATTATACTTAAGGTGTAAGAGGATGCCTTTATGTGTTATTTTTGATAATTTCTGAAAAAATATGTGAGGTGTGAAATGACTGAAGGAGTGAAAGGGTGGTGGCTGTCTTCAAATGGAGAGAAAAGAAGGCTCTAGTAAATTGTACATGAATCAGAAAAGTTTCTAAAGAACATAAAATGACAACTTCAGAACTATCTAGGATTAAATTTAACATGTTTATATAACAAAGGAGATGATGGAACAATTATTATTTTAGATTATACTGGGAAACATTGAAAATATCTGAACAAAACATTGCTTATAAAGTTTACATATCAACAAAAAGCAGTTTGTAATCAACATAACTGAAAGAAGCAATTAAAAAACAAAACTGAATAATGTTCTAGGACCTATTGGTATTTTTACAATACATTATGAAATCTTTCAAGAAAATTTGGTTAAACTATTAGGCAATAAATGAAAGTCAGGAACACTATAGAGCAGACATGTCAAACACAAGGCCTACAGGCCAATTCCAGATTTGGCCCATGGGGTCACCCCACCCCCAAGCCCAGCTGGGCGCACCCCCATCATGCACATAGGAGGCAGTGAGTGTGCGAGGGCCAATGGTGTCTAGTAGCAGCTGCAGCCTGCCGGTCTCTTGGCCGGGGGCTCCGCAGCCAGCTGTGATCACTGGGCCGGCTCTCCAAGCAGCAGGCATGTCGGCAGCACCAGCAGCAGAAAGAGGCAGAAGTGCAGGGGGGATGCTTGTGATCTAGCCCGCCAGATGCACCTGTTCCGCCCCACCTTCTATCTTTGCAGCTCCCAGAGCTGAGATGTGACAAGCAGTCACGTGGCCATCTGGTGGGCTGGATTGTGTGCCTCTCCCCCTGTGCCTCTGCCTTCACCTGCTACTGGTGCCACCACCACGCCTGCTGCTTGGAGGGCCAGAGGCAAAGGAGCAGGGGAGAGATACGCAATACTTTCTGCCGGATGTGCCTGCTCGGTTCCACCTTCTGTCTTTGTGCAGCTATCCTCACGGCCATCAGAGTAGGATCCTCTGATGGATCAAGCCCAGCACCCACCCTGGTCCCCACCCTTTCTGTCATAGACCCCTGGATTCCCCTCAGCCCCCCACCCCCCAGGCATCCCCTGACACGAACGATATCGAGCTCTTCATGCCCAACTCGGCCATGCCTACCCAGTCAGCTGCAATCACCACACCACGCACTCCTGGCCCCCTTGAGGCAACCACAATGCTGATGTGGCTCTCAATGAAATTGAGTTTGACACCCCTGCTATAGAGAGAACTTTTCATGTTTTTGATACACAGAATGAAATTATTTGACCCATCTAGAGTCATATGTCTTATTTCTTTATTGAATGTAGATTACAAGCTTTTTATGGCAATGCTTACAAAGAGCATACATGTTTTTTTTTAAACAAAGTGATACACTCTGATCAGGCTGAATTTGTTCCAAAGAGATATATAAGAAAATCAGACATATCTGATGTTACCAATAACATGAATTTTCAAATCAGAAAGTAACTATAATTTTTCTTGATTCAGAGAATGATTCTGATAACTTGGAATGGTCTTTCATGCTTTCAGTTTTTAAAAAGATGAATTATGGCTCTATTTTTTACACGTATACACAGTATTTAAAAGAATAAGAAGCCAGATAACAGTAAATAGTTTTCTTTATCAAAGAATGCAGTATATTGAGGACAAAGTTGTCCTCTCTATATCCTTCCTTATCTCTATTGGTATTAGAGTCATTGGCAGTGGAAATAAGACAAGAAAGCAAAATTTTAGGAATCGAATTAGCAGCATAAGAAATACTTTGAAATTATATGGTTATAATAGTATATTTCCATACTCAAAATATTTTTTTTAGTATTAGTGGTAGACCATATATATAGATGTATATCAGATTTTCAGATCCACAACAATAAAACTCAAATGCTGACTTAAAAACAGAGGGAAAAAGACAACATTTATACCTAAAAACATTACTGCAAAAAAGGTGAAATATTTAAAATTTATTTGATAAAACTGTTATAAAAATAATTATTTACAGATTTAGAAGAATAATATAGGAGAGAAACTGACTGAGCCAGGGGGAGGAGTCAAATAGGAACTTAGTCTAGAATCCCTATGTGGGCATAAGAGGGCGAAGTCTGAGTCCCCCTTGACTGAACCTTATCTGGTTTTACCCTGTTGCAAACTATCAGTCTGAGAAGATTCCTATGTATAGTTCGAGCAATAAAATAGCTAATTGAATTCTTCAAGTGTGGGTCTGGTTGTTTACACCTGACAAATATAATGCTAGACTTTTAAGAGTGGAGGCAATTGAAGTTGTTTTGGTTAGGAAGAATTGAGAGCAGCTGTTAAACGTCTGTTAAGACTTAACTTTCTGTTCTGAACAATTCCAGTAAATATTTAGAACAAATGATTAAATGATTGACATAAACAAGTAACAAATCACATATGGTGCAAAATCAAGGATTATTTTTGATATTCTTCAGTGTTCAAAAACAGGTAGCTGGATTGGCAACTACAATTCTCCAAACTGTGAATTGTATTACCAAGCTAGGCGCTTGATTTAGGTCATGATGATCTTATTACCTTATGGCTCAAACACCTTTATGGAGAAAGTAAGGAAGATCCAGATGGTCTAGATAAATATATCTGCATTCACAAAAACAGTTTATAAAAACAGTGCATGCAATAAGAAGAGCATATTGAAAGTAGGAATAAATACAGAAAAAGAATCAGTCCAGATTTATTCCCTCTTGCCTTTTAATATATTTAACATTTATTAAATTGTTTATTTACATGTTGAGAACAGCATAAATAACTTTGTTCAGTGGAGAAATGATCCATGTAGATTGCAAGATTTGATTATCAATAAGTCAAAGAAAATCTTTTTGAGACTCCTGTAATGATCTAATCTACCTAATTTCAATATCTTTAAATATTGAATCTATATCTATCTATGTCTTTGTTTCAGCAATGCATTTGAAAAAAATACCCACAATATTCTGGCTTAATAGGCTAGTGAAGTGTGGACTGGATGGCATGAACATTAAGCTTGGCAATATATTGTAAATGCTTTATTAATTGTTCTTCATCATTGTTGTGAAGAATTAAGTGGAGTGTCTCACTTTCCATTCTGGACCCTGTACTAACCAAGATTCAATTATTTTAATGAGGAAGTGGAGGGAATATTCAGCACACTTACTAATAGCACAAAATTGTGTGGAATGACACGTATTCTAGAAAACAGAAATAAAAAGCAGAACGTTCTTGATAGATTAGAGAAATGGGTTGAAAAATAGTTCAGAAGTACGAGCGTACAACACCAAGGAGCAGGAACCATGTTTATTGCTAAGATTGTTGAGTGCCTGCTTTGCAAGAAAAAGGGACCAAAAGAATGTGAAAGCAAAGAATTTTATAGAAATTGGGGACTACAAGATGGGGAATCCTAGCAATCTGATTTGCTGGTCAGTTTGGGGAAGCTAGAAAGATCCTTGTCCATGTAACTGGAGTTATTTCTATTCTTAGGCAAAGTAGCTTTTAAGGAGTGCAGAAGAGCGGAGCAAGTCCATTATTAAAGTAATGGAATGTTGAGGTCATCGGCTGATGGAGGAGGGATAGTTGTAGGTCTCTTCTTAGGGCTGCCCTTGCAATGTACTGAAAGTTGGTGAGGGGGCTTCTAGTTTTTGATCTAGATGTGATTATAGGAGGTTTTATCTGAGGGCAAGGAAAATCAGTTTGAGTCTCATGGGATTAGGCAGATAAAGAAACTGGGTTTGACCCCGACCATGTCTAAAGGAAAAGGAAGAAAAGGGTGCAGCCTTCATTTTATTTGCTACATTTATTTTCCCCACTTCAGTGAATGAAATTTAAAAGAGACATATACAAAAAATGTCATAGGACATCAAAGAGACCCTGGGAAAGTAGAGGAGAAAAGAGGATCATTGCATCAGTTCCTCAGCTTGACAGAAAAGCAAAATCAATTAGCAGTTAATGTGTTGCACTTGGCTTGGTAATGGTGTTTGTGGAAGAGATTTTGGAATAGCATTTGATTACAAACTGAATATGATTCCACAATATGATATGGCTGCAAAAAAAAAGGCCAAATGTTATTTTGGCTTTATTTTATTGCTAGACAGCCATCTGTCTGAGGTACTTTAATTTAGATTCCTGCACTGAGCAGGAGGTTAGCCTCCAGGGCCTTAAAGGCCTTGCCTAACTCTGTGGTTTAAGATATTAGTATAATTAATACCAGAATAGATAGTTTAGACCATTCACAGGTGCTGAATTACAGTTCTTGTCCCAAAACATCATTGGAGATGTCAGGACCTGAAATTAAATATATCTGGAAGACATTTAAATGCCTTTCTTGATCCAGAGTATAGATTTTACAGCATGCATCAAAAAAAAAAAAAAAGATTTGACACGAAAATAAACATGATTCACAGGGGAATTTAGTTTGTTTTCTTTTTAATCATCATCGACTCTATTATACTTGTAAGTTAATATAAACTTATTTGAGAATTTCTTTTCCATAGTAGTTCAAATTGCAGAAAGTGTTTACTGTTACAGTTTTCAATCTAGACATTCCTTAAATTATTGAGGCAGTATAGTTCAATCTGGTTGAATTGCCTCCCTTTCTACTGTCTAAGAATTATCGTGCAACTTTTTTTTTTGGGGGGGAGGGCACTTCCCGCTTCCTTTTTTAAAAAAAAACTATTTTTTTGCCTCTAAGCACTGCAGGCGGTGGTGATGTAGCATTTAAATGTGATGTTGTTTTCCTGGTTTCTGGAGGTTTTTTCTTTTTACCTGAATGTGTGTTAAGGTAGTTTTAACTTACCTATTTGAAATCTTACAAAATTATTTTCAGAAAGATGAAGAAATTGTACAGCGTAAAATCATCATTTTGCCATATTTCAGGCAGTGAGTTCCTTGCAAACTTTTGTGTCCTTAGCGCAAGTTTGGGGAACTGTGATTTCCCCATCTTACTCTGTAAATCAAACAAATCATATAGTGTTATAATTCTGATTATAGAAACGTGTAATCGTGTAATTGAAACATAAGTTTCTTTTCTACTAGAAGCCACACTGGAGAGAAGTGTTGATTTAACCTCATTTTATATAAATATTTTATGTGGTTTAAAAAAATAGATGTGGTTGAACATTAAAAGTGTTACAGGTATATATTGTAAAAAATAAACAAGAATGTGACATTTACTTTTCTTTTGAGAAGTGAAATTGATGTGTGAACAAAGTATGCCCAAGGAAAATCTCTCCTTACAACTTTTATATTTTAAAGACTTAGAACACATTAGAAAATAGTTTTCTGTGTATATTAAGTTTCATTTCCATTAAAATAAAAATGAATGAAATGTTTCTTCCAGTCAAGGAATCATATCTGCAATAGAACTGTGGTATTGCAAATAGCTCTGCATTGTTCAGGGCCATTAGAAATCCTTACACAATGGCTTTCAAAATTCAAAATAAGAATATTCTCTAATATTTTTTCTTAGACACTGAACCTTTACCAGAATTGTCTAATATAAGGGTAGGAGTGGGGTGGGGAAAGTTCCAGAAGGGGGCAACCCAACGAGGAGATAAATGGAACCACGATAAAAATAAAATTTGATTTAATTAGATTAAATATAGTAATTTAAAAAAATATTTTCACAATTTTCAGGCTGAATATGTCCAGCTTGTTACTGAGCTTCGAATGACGAGAGCCATTCAGCCTCAGATAAATGCTTTTCTTCAAGGTTTCCATATGTTCATTCCTCCTTCTTTGGTACAACTCTTTGATGAATATGAATTGGTGAGTAAAATTATATTGTGTAATTGAACACCTTATGATTTCCATAGTTCAGTGGTGGCGAACTTATGGCACGCATGCCAGAGGCGGCACTCAGAACCCTCTCTGTGGGCACACAGGCCATGCCCTGGAGATGGCAACTGTCCCTCTTCAACCAGCCGCCCACTAACTCGCCGAGGTCCCACATGGCCGGATGCATCCCAGTACCCATGCACTCGCTGGTCTCTGTGTGCAGAGGTCGATGGATGTCAGGCAGCAGCCGCCCCTGCCACACCTTACCCTATGACAATGGCACCCCCGCCCTGCCTCACCTCACCCCGCAGGACGAGCCTCCTGCCCACTGCCCCACCTGGTAGAGACCCCCTGGATCTCCCCCAACCCTGCCCGGCCCCCAAAGGCGTCCCTCCCCACAAGCAACATCGAGGTGATCACGCCCACCTTGGACACTCCCACCTAATCTGCCATGACCACCACAGCCATGCCCACCCAATCTGCCAAGACTACCACAGCCATGCCCACCCAGTGGGCCACGCTCACCTGGCACCCGGCGATAAATAAGTGGGTTTTGGGTTGCAGTTTGGGCACTTGATCGCTAAAAGGTTCGCCATCACTGCTATAGTTAATGGTACAGAACGTAGCAACTTTGGAACACTGAACTTATTAATTTGGACAACAGTTTCACTTTATTTTGTTGAAAGTGAGTAGAATATTTTATATGCCTTTTTTTGTAATCTAAATGTAATCTAAAGAACCAGGCATATGCTGATACTGTAGTTTTCGGGTTTCTGTGTTCAACAGTTGATCCTATATTGATTTAGAAATCCTATCATTCTGTGTCATAACAGAATAATGTTTTCAAAGGTGAATAGTCTTCAGAAAAATAAACCACTTTACAGCTAAAAATGTGACCAGTTTAACTTGTCATATTCATAACAAAATTTGATTTCTCCTTTTTTTTAAAAGGAATTGTTGCTTTCAGGCATGCCAGAAATTGATGTAAATGACTGGATTAAAAATACAGAATATACAAGTGGCTATGAAAGAGATGACCCAGTTATTCAGGTAGAGTATGGGATGGATTGCTACAGCTATACATTTCAACCAGTTGCTTTCCCCCTGTTTTTAATATATTACCTGTCTTTCCAGGCTGTTTATGTTTTGTGGAAATGAGGCACAGTAAGATTGGTTTGAATTTACCAAAATACAATTTTCATAATGTAGTCATATTACTTATTAATGAGAATTAGCAGGACAGATTTCAAAACTGTTTTAAAGAAGTAAAACGTGGAAAGAAATCCATATTAGCACAGTGAAAAAATTAAAAATGAAATAAAAAGTGAAATGTGTGTGTATGGGTACATATATCTAGATATCGATCTTTTTAGTGTAATATGGGAATTAAATATTAAGAATAAAAATGCCTCCCAAATAATATTTTAGCATTATAGCAGAGAGGCCCTTTCATCTACCTGCATACCTTCATTTTGCAAATAGTTCAGAATTTGAAAAGTCATTGCAATGAATCTGGCCTTAAATGCATTCAAACACTGTGCTGCTTCAGAGTATTACATATTTGTATTGGCAACCAATAGAGCCGAGGTGGCGCAGCAGTTAGAGTGCAGTACTGCAGGCCACTTTAGCTGACTGTGTTCAGCAGGTCAGCAGTTCAAATCTCACCGGCTCAAGGTTGACTCAGCCTTCCATCCTTCCGAGGTAGGTAAAATGAGGACCCAGATTGTTGGTGGCAATGTAAAATATATATACATTGCTTACTGGTGTACACCGCTTAGAGAGTGCTTGCACTTAAAGCGGTATATAAGTCTCATAAATAAATAAATAAATAAATAAATAAATAAACCAAAATGAGTACCTTAGAAGCTACATATGGTTACATGACATCTTCAAACTATGTTCAGAACTATCATGCCTTTTAGTAAGAAATTGCAGCTTCCGCTCGCCTAGAAAGAATTGCAATTGATAAAAACATCCTAATAATTGAGAGTGCCGGGTCTTCCAATGATAATGGAAGACGTCTAGGAACATCCCAAACTGCATTCACGCTCCTGAAGAATTTTGTCTTAATTTTTTAAAGATCATTACATAATATATAAAGGTTATATAATATAATTACATAGCATATGATATACAGTTGTATTGTAATTGTAACTTGTACTAATTATGCCATCATGTAAGAAAGTAGTATAATTATAATTGTATAATTGAGTTAGGTGGATAAATTAGTTGTTAACTTCTGTTTTGAAGACTTATGTTTATAATTTGAAACTCATTCGACTTTTGGCTTGCATCTAGCAGCTAAATTTCGACTGAACACAAACAAATTGTTTTATTTTTCTTTCTAGTGGTTTTGGGAAGTTGTAAAAGAACTGACTCAAGAAGAACGGGTGCTGCTATTGCAGTTCGTCACTGGCAGGTGAGTGCATTTTGTTTTTACTTGTTTGTTGAAAAGTGTTCATAACATTTTCTGTTCCAGATAAGAGCATGACATTTTCAGCAAATATTCCTACAACTATCTATGGATTTTAGATCATATGGCAGCTTGTGATTTTTGGATATCTAACAAATAGTGTTTTTTGAAATCAGATTATAGATCTAATACTGTAACAAATAAATACTTTTTTATTTGGACCAGTTTCCTTGTTTTACAGTGAAATAATAACTTGGCACCAAAGCTCAAAATTATTCTATGGTCAAAGTATCTTGCAGAGGTACCATCTTTAGCACAGAAAATCCAGTAGTAGAGCTATAACTACTGTAAAAATGCCACAGTCCCTGCTGTAATGTCAAAGAGTTCGCATAATAACTTTTTAATTGTGTGGATTTTTTAAAAAATTGATCACTGTATTCCATAGGCAAATTAAAGTGAGTAGGTATCCCCAATTATAAAGTTAAAAACCAGGAAAATTAAACCTCCCTATCATAATATCATAGCCATATTTTAGGTAAAGAAAAGTAGGGATTTTTCTTTTATATATTTATATCTGTATCATCTATGACTATAGCTGTATCAGCTTAAAAATAATTTTCATATATCTTCTCATATTTTATGTGTTGATATGTCTTGTATTCATTTTTCGTGATATTTATCCTTCTACATAAGGTCAATGGATATTTAACCATACATTTATGCTAATTTTTATCTGATATAATATATTGTTATATTTAGATCCACAAATGAACAAGGCTTCCTTGAATTACTATCATATTATTCTGAGTAAGGCTTTTTTCAAATTAAAAGAGTCTTCTGTATGTAACTGTGATTTTAAAGAATATTGTCATCTTATTTCCCTGTTAAGCTTGGCTGCAAAAATATTGGAAGTAATCCTGTCCTGTAGACTTCTGATGTTGTTACTTTCAACTACACATACCATGTCATCTAATTTTATAAAATGGGAGAATGTTTGGCTAATATTAATTACTAATTGATATTTTAATTATACATTCATAAAAAGTGAAAAGAGTTATTTTATTGGATGTGGAAAAGGTCTTTGATAGGATATAGTTTAACTTTTTGGAACTGGTTTTGTTCCAGCTGGATTTGGCCATTTTGTTGCACCAACTGAATTTTCTTTTCTTTTTTTTTAATTGATTGAATTATGATAGAATATTTTGATCCCTCAACCTGAATGGAACTTAAATGGAGGAGCTGCCCTATAGGTAACATCTGTGCAGCATAATAACGATCTCTTCTTTGCGTTCTCTTGCCAACCTGTTGGCTTTTTCATTTCCATTTCTTGCAATTTTTTTACTAATTTCACATTTGTATATTTTTAACTAGAAATGCTTAATGTTTATTGGTGATGGAGGAAAGATTTCTGATATGGGTGCTGTGACAAACTGTTTGATTGATGTTTTCATTTTCCCATGCCATTGGCTTCCTGTAGCCCATTTATTAAACATTAGATAATGTATGTATATATCGGGGTGTGTGTGGGGGGAAATAAGTGTACAGATTTCCAGAGGGACAATTTATATAAGACTCTCAAGTAGCAATGTACCAGGAGGGACATCACCTGATAATTTGCTTTTGCCAGTGTGTCATATTGAAGCATTTATATAGCCATTGCAGAATACTGAAGCTGAGTTGTTCAGCAGATGGACCAAGAATTAGCAGTTGCATGGCACAAAATAGAAAATGTTTGTCTTGGTGAAACACATTGTTGTTGCAAACGGACTTGATTTATTAATGCTTTAAAGCAGGCGTGTCAAACTCAATTTCATTGGGGGCTGCATCAGCATTATGCTTGACCTCAAAGGGCCAGTTGCTGACCCCTGTGCTTTTTCCACAGAAGCCTTGCCTATCCCCTTCTGTCCCCCAGGCTTGCCCCACTGATATCTCTTTTCCCTATTGCCTTCTCTCCCACTTCACTCCTTCTCCTTCCCGCCAAAACTCCTCCTTTTATATCCTCTTCCGGCTGGCCTTTTCATGCAGCACATCAGCTGGAGCTATGTGCACTGATTCTGAGGTGTCCATGCAGCCCCGCAGCTCCAGCTGACCTTCCCCCCCCCCGAAGACTGCTTGCAGCTATCAGCCATCCCCGAGGCTGCCAGAAACCCCAATCAGCTGGAGCTATGTGTGCCAATCCTGGGACCTTAGCAGAGCCTCAGCAACACCACAGCTCCAGCTGACTCTCCTCCAGGCCTCTCTGATGTTGCTGCCGCTTCAGCTCACCCCCTCGCTACATAATCACCTCCTACTAGTCTGCTTGCGTGCCAAATCTAAATACATCACAGGCCAGATCTGGCCAACAGGCCTCGAGTTTGACATATCTGCTTTAAAGGAAAAAAAAGCATTATTAGCTTTTATTAAAGGTAGCTTTTTATTAAAGGCAAGCTTTTTATTAAGCTTATGATCGCAATTAAGAACAGAAATTCTGTAGTTGCCCAAGTTTATGATCTTTTTGCAACAGTTAAGTGAATCACTGAAGTTGTTAAGTGAAGCACATGGTCATTAAGTGAATTTGACTTCCCCATTGACTTTGCTTGTTGAAAGCCAGCTTGGGAAGTTGCAAATGGTGATCATATGGCCCCAGGACACTACCATCATTGTAAATATATTTATTTATTCATTAAATTTGTTTGCTACCCATCTCACCCCGAAGTGACTCTGGGCAGCTTACAATATTACAAAGAGTAAGACTGTACAAAAATGTGTATACAATAAGAATAAAATACAATAAAAAGATAAATTATCAGCTGTAACTAAAAGATGGGGACGCAGAGAGGATGAGCAGGGAAGGAGGTGGGATATATTGTTAATCTATCTACTACCTTCAGTGTGACACTCCCCCATTGGAGTACTGGTTGCCAAGGCCCCAAATTCTGATCTGTTGGGCTGCTGTGACAGTTGTTAGTGTAGTCCTGGTCTTAAGTCACTTTTTTCAGTGCCATTGTAACTTTAAATGGTTGCTAAATGAATAGTTGTAAGTCAAGAACTAGTTGTACTTAATTGTTGCTAGTTCTTTCTTTAGATAAACTGTTTACTATTTTATTTTATTTTGCTCTTGAGAGGAATTTTTGAAAATGTTAACAATTTTAAAAGTTTGGATAAATATATTTTTAAGGAATTAGAGCAGTTTACAATTCTTGGGGAAAGTGACTGATGCTTGAAATAGGAATATCCTCAGTTGTGGGCATAATTATAGAATCATAATTATAGAATCATTACATAGTTCAATAATTTAGGGGTTGTTTTTTTCAACTATTGTATTGTACAGATCACTAGATTCCACCAGAAACACAAAAACATGAAAACAAGGCAGTGGATAGAGGCTTGCTGACTGAATCTTCTTCCATAGTGCTGTTTTTTTACATGCTAACAAGGGCTCAAGAAAATAATAATAGGCTCTCCAAGTCTTTAAGAGTATCTATCTCCCAGCAGAAAATAAATTTCCTTTGTGGAATTTTTGCGAAAGAGACAGCAGCTAAAAGCAGTGCTCAGTAAACGTTTTAGAAGAGCATCTGAATTTCTGCTTCTGATGGAGCTTGGTTGGTATCTGAGATCTGGGCCAGTCTGGAAGCAAATCCCAAACCAAGTAGCACTGTGTGGGGCTTTGACAAATGACAGACAGGCAAAATTCTTTCTTCTTTCAAGGGAAAATAGATTGGAAGCTAATGCTGGCCCAGATTTAATGCAGTGTGGATTAATCCAATGCAGTGTATTCTTCCTCTTCAGATTAAGGCTTTAATAAATTACCTTGTACCTCATTGATAGAGTGGGATTTTTTGCCCCGGTATTCTTTACAAAGTATATTTACACTACAATTATAATGAAGCCATTGCTTTATCTTCTGATAAAACTGAAAAGTTAAAGCAGAATATATGACATAAGAAAGGAAAACCAATAAGATTGTTAATTTATGCCTTTTTATTCTGTAATTCTTGTGATGTGAAATGAAAAAGTGATTACCTGACTTTTGGGAAAGTAGTGTAGACATGTTGACTTATTTCTATCAATGGCTATACAAGATGGGAAATCCAATTGTTATGGCTCCCTTCTCTCATTCTTCATGCTTCATTAAAAATTGTTTCTGAAATCTAGGAATGCCTCCTGTGAAGAAGGCTGGACTTTTGCAAAAATCTAGTTTCGCTCACAGTCTGCTTTGTGAAATAAAAACTCAATATATATGAGTTCTTAAGAAATATAAACATGAAATTGTTGCTTATAAGCCTTTCTAATAGAAGTTTGTAAAATACTTAATGAAGGATTTCTCTTCACTGGGTATTTCTGGCCCAGTTAAGATAAAACATTTCCAAATGCTGCATCAGGAAAGCCAGTAACTAATATTGTTATTTAGAGTGTTATGTATTGAAATACAGCTCTGCGAAGGACACTATTTCACAAAACAATATTAAAAGGAAGGCCACTTCATTTTTACCCTAAAGCCATTACTTTTGTTCTGTAAATACTTAAAAGAAGTTGGAACTTTTAGCAGTTGCTCTTTATATTAGAACTGTAGCAACCGTAACAATTTATTTCTGTCATTCATAAAGAATTTGTATGACATATGGATTTTTAGTTACTATTTCATCTTGAAGCATACTAATGCATCTTCAGTCTCTGTTTGCCGTGGTTAGCTATATGTTTCACATACTTCAATAGCTTCATTGCCAAAATGAAAGCTTTAGTTGCATAAAAATGTAGATGTATAGCTTAGATGTTTTAGAACTGAAAATGTGATTGCTATACTGGAAAAAATGTGTGTATTTGACCTAAATGTAATAAAGAGCACAGGGATACTAATAATCTTGTATATTTTTCCCTTCTCCCCTCTGAACAGCTGATAAAAGTATGTAAGACCTCTATTCTGTGGATCTTCCAGTGAAAGCTTTGAGGGGAAGCTGGCACAGTGTTGTATTTTTTATTTTCAGTTCAACTTGTTATCCATTCTAGATCTTCTTTAAAAAGTCATTGCAGGGTTCATGTATTAAGGATGCGTGCAATTTTTCTTAAACTTCTTATCATCAATGTTTTTCAGTTCTAGAGTACCCCATGGTGGCTTTGCCCATATAATGGGTGGTAGTGGATTGCAAAATTTCACAATTGCTGCTGTGCCATATACGCCAAATCTGCTACCCACATCAAGTACATGGTAGGTTATTGAAATACATTAAGGACAGAATGTTTTCCTTAAATTCTTTTTCTTTGGGGTCCCAGACAAGTATTTGCCTAGGTATCCTCTTGCATAACTTAATAAAACACTCACTTCTGATAATTTTGATGTAGAATTGATTCTACATAATTTAAATTATGTCTTCCATTTTGTTGGGGAAAAATGTACCTCTTGCAATAGAGCATTAATGGGCAGTAGTACAGAATCACTAAAGGATCCTTAATTTAAAATTGCTCTATTGCTTTTTCATTTTGTAAAAGATTTTTTTTGTTTGTTTTGGCTAGATAACATTGGAATACTAAAGGGGACTGCAATGCAGTGCATTTGTTCTTTTATACTTTACTTCAGACAAGTAAGAATTTGAATGCTGATTTGAAAGTGTGGTGTCATATTAATTACCTCATGCAAAACAAATTTCTACTTTCAAATGCCATGTTTTAATGGGGGATTCTTTTTTTTTCTGTTTCAGTATCAATATGCTGAAGTTGCCTGAATATCCTAAAAAAGAAATCCTTAAGGACAGACTTCTTGTGGCATTACATTGTGGAAGCTATGGGTATACAATGGCATAATGAAGCAGGACAACATTTCTGATTGCTGATGTGCAATTCCTCGTGGCAAAAATAATTTAGCAATCTGTCAACAGGAGGGAGATGGTGGTAGTTAGGAAGAAGTCTTGGTTTTCAGTTGATAGGTAGCATCGATTTTTACAAGTTGCAAAAGATACAGGGCATCTCTTTCCTCTATGCCGTTAAGCATTTTTACGGAAATTCTGAAACTCAGTTTTTAAATGCTATTTCTCCATTAAACACAGCATATATCCCAGTCCATCTCTGTTTTTTATTGGAACACTCTGAAGCTGTTCTAGTTGTAACAGATGTGAAATGTGTTTGCCTTTCCACCCTAACTTTGCCATTAGTAAGGGTTGCAGTCAAGTATTATGATACTAGCTAATTGTGTTATATAGGCAGAGAGATGCTATTCTCCTCCATGATTAGTGTGAGATCTGAAAATCACTGTCTTTAACTTCCAAGGGCTTGTTCATTCCTGTAAGATGACATAAATTCCTAGCATGTTAGAAATATTGTATACTTTTTACCCATGTATTTTCTTGCATGCAAAAAAGTGACATATATTTATTTATTTTTTCTTCAGGGGACATTGAACAAAATTAGAGAACAAAATAGCAAATGTGATTTATTTTTTTCTGCTAAGTTTAAATACTTTTTTATTTTTCTAGTTATTTAATATCTAAACATCTAAAAAGCTTATTGGCAAAAATTAAATTTCTGGAAATAAAAAAAATCTGTATTGTACATTTCAAATGCACAACATAGTCATAACTGAACTATCAGCAATTTCATGACCTTTGAAAACATGTATATTTATTTTAAAGGAATATTTCCCTTTATTGGGTAAGGAGTCATTTTCTGATGCCTGAACTTTGAAAAAATATTCATTAAAATGAAATATTTTATTTGTAAAATACCATTGGTCAGTTGTGTTTATCAATATTAATCTGTATCCGTGTTTTTGTGCTTGTTTTAATAGTAGATTATAGACTTTTGCTTCATTAACTAAGAAGATTGATATGAATGGGTTATAGCATAGAACAGGCTAAAACATATAAGGAAAGGTTGGTGGAATTGGGTGTCTTAATGAAAAGAAGGACTAGGGGTGACATAATAGCAGTATTCCAATATCTCAGGGGTTGCCATGAAGAAGAGGGAGTCAAGCTATTCTCGAAAGCGCCTGAAGGCAAGACAAGAAGCAACGGATGGAAACTAATCAAGGAGAGAAGCAACCTAGAACTAAGGAGAAACTTCCTGACAGTTAGAACAATTAACCAGTGGAACAACCTGCCTCTAGAAGCGATGAATGCTCCAACACTGGAAAATTTTAAGAAGAAACTGGGCAACCATTTGTCTGAAATGGTATAGGGTTTCCTTTCTGAGCAGGAGGTTGGACTAGATGACTTCCAAGGTCCCTTCCAACTTTATTATTATTAATTATTATTATCTTTTATTCATTAAACATGAACCTCAGTCAACTAAACATTCAAATTGGCTGGCATTGATGGTTGACACAGATTGCTATCAGCATCCTAGATGTCAACCAGGCAACTCCTTAAAATATAAGATGTTCCGAGTAGCACAGTTTTTTGTAACGTTGCTGGAGTTATTGCTGGAAGCTGCAGTTTCTTGATGTATTTTGCAAAGTTTTTGGACATAGTTCCCAGTGCCCTGATGACAATGGGTATCACTGTTACACGTTTCATCCATAATTGCCAGGTCACGATATTTTGTAATTTTTTCCAGTTCTTTTTTTTTGACTTTGGCACCTCCTGGTACAGCGACATCAATCAGCTGTACAATTTGGTTCTCTACAACTGCGATATCTGGCGTATTGTGTTCCAAATGGCGATCTGTCTGTATTTGAAAGTCCCACAAGATCTTCACCCTCTCATTCTCAACAACTTTTTCCACTCTATGTTCCCATGACTTTTTGGACACAGGCAAGTCGTATTTTTTACACAATGCCCAGGGGATTAATTTAGCAACTTGGTGATGTCTAGCTTTGTAACAACAACAACAACAACAAAACAACAACAACAATAACAATAATATAACATAATAATAATACCTAAAGAACTAAGATTTAACACTGAAGCCCTGAACAGTATTATGCTAGTTGACATTTTACTTAATGACTGCCATATCACTTGCTCCTCTTAATTTTCATATCTAGATTAATTATTATGATCATGGCATGTTGCAAAATGAACTTCTATCTTCCAGAGCCTCTGTGCAGTTCCCAGATGTATCCATAGAAAATTAAAAAGTGTGAATTATTTAAGTGGATGTAATTCAACAATTTATTTTGGATATGCCCTTTCATTTTGAAATCAGTGTAGTTAAGTTGCAACTAGAGGGCTAAAATGGATGGTGGTATACAGTTACAGTATAAAGGAATCGGCTATTGTGTGGGGTGTGTTAGGTTAGTTAGCTTACTGCTTGAGAGGTCTTGGTTTTGGAGGGAGGGATGGGTGCTTGAGCGTCACATTTATCCTTCGTGAAAAGAATATGGTTGGGCAAGTCACCTTTTGTTTTTTAATGTTCTACCAGTTTCCTGCTAAGAAATATATATTTTGTTCAATCATTTTACAAGGGTATCTGTCTCTCTGTGTCTCTGTGTCTCTGTCTCTCTGTCTCTCTCTCTCTGTCTCTCTCTCTCTCTCTCTCACACACATACACACACACACACACACATTCACACTCATACTCACACACAGATTGAGACTTAGATTTGGTCCAAGGGAAGTCAGGCAATCTTTTGTAGTTCAGGGCTACCCATTTGTTTCATTGAGTTTTATTTATTTTGCTTCCAAAGGAAGCAGATGACATACCCAGTTGATTTAACGACATTCCTCAAGAATGGATGGCCCAAGGGAACAGTTTATCAAAATCTGGAGTACACCGCATCACCTTCAATCAATGTGATGTGATCTGGGGTTCACAAATTGCTCTGTTCTAGATTAGGATATCTTACTATATTCTTAATTGTAAATGATTTTACCTTCTCTAACCTATGACACTTATCTGCAGTGATAGAAGCTATCTATACAGAAAAGGTCTTATTAGAATGGTGGTGAGTAATCAAAGTATTGACTGCTTCTCTAGCTCAGCATAGATAATGAGAATTGTAAATTATGGATGAGGAAAATGATGAACTAGATGTCTCTGAAAAGTGCTGAGATTCTGCCAGGCCAATATCCAATGGATTGGCAGCAATTTTGATCCAGTGGAACCTTTCTGGATAAGGAGAGGACGAGAGACTGCCCATTTGTGCTCTGGATGGCTGCTCTTCATGAGAGATAGCAGGATAGGGCTCATCCCACTGGTCTGAGCACCAGGAGACAAGGGAAGCCATCAAGCTCTCAACCATAGGGGAGCCTTTAAGAACACTGGCTCATTCAACTTCATTTTCTAATCACCTTTTGATTTACAACTATTTTACAGTTAAACGAGATCTTCCAAACAACAAGATTGAAAAATATCTGATGAATACATATCCAGGGAGATTCTCAATCATCCAGGTCATGGTTTCTAAAAGGCAACTGGAGTTTCTTTATTTTTTGCTTGCAAAAGTTCTGAACTGAAGAAGCTTCTTGGATGAGAAATGAAACATTTTTTAAGGAAAAAAAAACCACACAAAAGTCCAATTGCCTTTTGCAAAAGCACCTTTGGGACACCTGGTGAGCAAAACATCCCAAAATAGAAGAAAATTAATTAGCAGTTTAAAGAACTTAACATAAAACAAGTGACAAAAAGCTGAATAAGAATTCAGTGTAAGAAAATTTTAAACTGATTAAGGGATCAATAGTAAAAACATGAATAAAGAAAAATGATATATTAATTCAGGGGTATCAAACTGCCGGCCAGTGGGCTGGTTTCATCATACCGGAGCCATGCCCAACCCATTGCCGGCAATGGCGAAAAAGCTCCGATACGTTGCGTGATATCACGTGATGTCATGAGTTTGACATGCCTGTATTAATTGAATAATGTGACATAATTATACATTTCAGTAATTAGCTAATTTGTATGTTTGGGGAATATGTACAAATCCCTTTGCAATGGCGAAAAAGCTCCGATACGTTGCGTGATATCACGTGATGTCATGAGTTTGACATGCCTGTATTAATTGAATAATGTGACATAATTATACATTTCAGTAATTAGCTAATTTGTATGTTTGGGGAATATGTACAAATCCCTTTGAATTAGGTTATATGTATTTCTAGGCATTAGAAATGTATTATTAGGGCCCCCTCATATAAACTCTTGGGCTCAAGAGAAACCATGTACTAGTGTGCTTATTCTAAGGATAGGATCTGACATCTTGGCTGCATGAAATTAACCTAATAACACCAGGTTTCTTTCTCCAGTTATTGTGATTTAGCTCTCTGAATAATAGTTGTTAGTTTTAAAATGTGGGTTCTTTCCACAGGGCCCAGTTGTTTTTTTGCCACCACCTGTGCAGTGCAAAAAAATATGTTTTGGACACCCCCATAACAAGGCATAGAAAAATAAATTAACATCTCTGCATCTTCATTTCACAAAACATATTATGGCAAGAATTCCCCAAACATGCTGATGTTGGATTGGTGCAGAACTCGGGCAAATCTTTCTATTTTTTTAAATATATAGTGAGTCTTTCAGATTATGGGTATGAGACCTGTGCTGCTCTGCCTATCACAACTGTAAGTATTTGTGACATTCGATGTCAAGAGTTCAGTGGATGAGTTTTCCAGAGAGCACAGCTATTCATCAAGATTATTAGGATTCTCTGGAGATAGCTTTGGTATTCTGATTGCCTTTGACACATCAGTTTGCTTAGATTAAAAGAAAATTGCTACTGTCTACTTGAATTTTAAACACTTCGGGGAAAGGAAAAGACCTCTGAAAGGTTTAGTTTATAGAATATTCTATAAAATGATTTTGAGATGCAAAGAAAACATTGAACAGTAATACCCAATAATTAATGCATTTTTTAAGAAATGCATTTGATAATTGTTACTTATCCTTGAATAACATATTTTTCATATACAATTTCTACCATTCTACTGTGAAAAAGTGACATAGCAATATTTTCTTCTAGGTGTAGAAAGCTTTTTGATGCAGTGAAGCTACTATGAACAATCAACAAGCTGGGGAAGTAGCAGCTTCTTCTAAAAACATTTAGTTATCTCAAATTAACAGTTCAGATATTCTTTATTAAACTTGATGAAATAAGCTAAAATTAAGACTGCAAGTTGTCTCATTTAGAAAAGCAAAACAAAACATTAACTGTATTGCTGCTCAATAATATCATAGATTTCCTATCATTGACGCTTGGCTGAAGAGTATAGAAATTTCCTATAATAATAAGCTCCAAACCAACATTTCCAGGCAAAACCCAAGAGATTCAAATGGGATATAGAATGCAGTGTAGACTTTATTAAACTGCTAGCCTTGAAATATTAGAAATGCAGCTTTCTTCCATGCAATTTTAGCCCTTGAATGATAACCTTTCAACCAATAATGTAGAACACTGGAATTCACTTCAGAATCTGTAAATGTAAGCATACATATATATCATATATTGTACATCTGTGATTAACCCAAATTAAATAAGACTGATTAAACCATCTTGTGGTTTGGCCAATGGGGAATTCCCCACAGCAGGCTGGGGAATTCTGGGAGTTGAAATCCACAAAATGTTGCTAAGATTGAGAAACACTGTCCCAGGGGCAAAAAGGTTGTGTGTTTTTTTGCCTGCTACAGTAGTCCTTGTTTAGCAATTGCCTCATTTAGTTACCTTTCATAGCTACTATGCTGAAGAAAAACTCACTTTGCAACCATTCCTCACATTTATAACCTTTGCAGGTTTATAACAGGAAAGGAAAGCTGAAGTAAGATTGTAAGCACAATCATTGGTTCTCTTAA